ACTCACAGACAGCCACAGACACTCACAGACATCCACAGACAGCCACAGACAGCCACAGATATCCACAGTCACAGACACTCACAGACAGCCACAGACAGTCACAGACAGTCACAGACACTCACAGACAGCCACAGACACTCACAGACAGCCACAGACACTCACAGACAGCCACAGACACTCACAGACAGTCACAGACAGTCACAGACAGCTACAGACACTCACAGACAGCCACAGACACTCACAGACATCCACAGACAGCCACAGACAGCCACAGATATCCACAGTCACAGACATCCACATACACTCACAGACAGCCACAGACAGTCACAGACAGCCACTTCTACAGCCACAGACACCCACAGACAGCTACAGACAGCCACAGACAGCTACAGACAGCTACAGACAGCCACAGACAGCTACAGACAGCCACAGACAGCCACAGACTCACATACAGCCACAGACACTCACAGACAGCCACAGACAGCTACAGACAGCCACAGACACTCACAGACAGCCATTTCTACAGCCACAGACAGCCACAAACAGCCACAGACAGCCACAGACAGCGACTTCTACAGCCACAGACATCCACAGACAGCCACTTCTACAGCCACAGACAGCCACATACAGTCACATACAGCCACAGACATCCACAGACATCCACAGACATGCACAGACATCCACAGACACTCACAGACAGCCACAGACAGCCACAGACAGCCACAGACAGCCACAGACAGCCACAGACACTCACAGACAGCCACAGACATCCACAGACACACACCGACAGCCACAGACACCCACAGACAGCCACAGACAGCCACAGACAGCTACAGACACTCACAGACAGCCACAGACACTCACAGACATCCACAGACAGCCACAGACAGCCACAGATATCCACAGTCACAGACATCCACATACACTCACAGACAGCCACAGACAGTCACAGACAGCCACTTCTACAGCCACAGACACTCACAGACATCCACAGACAGGCACAGACAGGCACAGACATCCACAGACACCCACAGACAGCCACAGACAGCCACAGACAGCTACAGACACTCACAGACAGCCACAGACACTCACAGACATCCACAGACAGCCACAGACAGCCACAGATATCCACAGTCACAGACATCCACAGACACTCACAGACAGTCACAGACAGCCACAGACAGCCACAGACAGCCACAGATATCCACAGTCACAGACATCCACAGACACTCACAGACAGTCACAGACAGCCACTTCTACAGCCACAGACACTCACAGACAGCCACAGACAGCCACAGACAGTCACAGACAGCCACAGACACTCACAGACAGCCACAGACAGCCACAGACATCCACAGACACACACCGACAGCCACAGACACCCACAGACAGCCACAGACAGCCACAGACAGCTACAGACACTCACAGACAGCCACAGACACTCACAGACATCCACAGACAGCCACAGACAGCCACAGATATCCACAGTCACAGACATCCACATACACTCACAGACAGCCACAGACAGTCACAGACAGCCACTTCTACAGCCACAGACACTCACAGACAGCCACAGACAGCCACAGACAGTCACAGACAGCCACTTCTACAGCCACAGACACTCACAGACATCCACAGACAGGCACAGACAGGCACAGACATCCACAGACACCCACAGACAGCCACAGACAGCCACAGACAGCTACAGACACTCACAGACAGCCACAGACACTCACAGACATCCACAGACAGCCACAGACAGCCACAGATATCCACAGTCACAGACATCCACAGACACTCACAGACAGTCACAGACAGCCACAGACAGCCACAGACAGCCACAGATATCCACAGTCACAGACATCCACAGACACTCACAGACAGTCACAGACAGCCACTTCTACAGCCACAGACACTCACAGACAGCCACAGACAGCCACAGACAGTCACAGACAGCCACAGACACCCACAGACAGCCACAGACAGCCACAGACAGCCACAGACAGCCACAGATATCCACAGACATCCACAGACAGCCACAGACACTCACAGACATCCACAGACATCCACAGACATCCACAGACACTCACAGACATCCACAGACAGCCACAGACATCCACAGACATCCACAGACAGTCACAGACACTCACAGACACTCACAGACAGCCACAGACAGCCACAGACAGCCACAGACAGCCACAGACAGCCACAGACACTCACAGACAGCCACAGCCAGCCACAGACATCCACAGACATCCACAGACATCCACAGACACTCACAGACAGCCACAGACACTCACAGACAGTCACAGACAGTCACAGACAGCCACAGACAGCCACAGACATCCACAGACAGTCACAGACATCCACAGACAGCCACAGACATCCACAGACAGCCACAGACAGCCACAGACATCCACAGTCACAGACATCCACATACACTCACAGACAGCCACAGACAGTCACAGACAGCCACTTCTACAGCCACAGACACTCACAGACAGCCACAGACAGTCACAGACAGCCACAGACAGCTACAGACAGCTACAGACAGCTACAGACAGCCACAGACAGCTACAGACAGCCACAGACTCACATACAGCCACAGACACTCACAGACAGCCAGACAGCTACAGACAGCCACAGACATCCATAGACAGCCACAGACATCCATAGACAGCCACAGACACTCACAGACAGCCATTTCTACAGCCACAGACAGCCACAAACAGCCACAGACAGCCACAGACAGCGACTTCTACAGCCACAGACATCCACAGACAGCCACTTCTACAGCCACAGACAGCCACATACAGTCACATACAGCCACAGACATCCACAGACATCCACAGACATGCACAGACATCCACAGACACTCACAGACAGCCACAGACATCCACAGACAGTCACAGACAGTCACAGACAGCCACAGACATCCACAGACATCCACAGACATCCACAGACACTCACAGACATCCACAGACACTCACAGACAGCCACAGACAGTCACAGACAGCCACTTCTACAGTGAACGCACCACTCAAGAGGAGCGGCCATCTTGGTACAGTATATACAGTGGATTACATTGAACGGCCATCTTGGTCTACTGTGTATACAGCGCACTCAGAGCGTCCATCTTGGTACACTGTATATACAGTGCGTTCGATGGAGCGGCCATCTTGGTCCACTGTATATACAGTATACTCAACAGAGCGGCCATCTTGACCTATTGTGAATACAGTACAGATGTCAAGTCGGCCATATTGCTCAAGGATGAGTCCACTGTTTTATACAGTGCACATGGCAGCCATATTGTATAGCGTAGTGTATAGTGTAGTGTATAGCGTGGTGTAGTGTATAGTGTAGTGTATAGTGTATAGTGTAGTGTATAGTGTATAGTATAGTGTTGTGTATAGTATAGTGTAGTGTATAGTGTATAGTATAGTGTAGTGTATAGTATAGTGTAGTGTATAGTAGTATAGTGTAGTGTATAGTAGTATAGTGTAGTGTATAGTAGTATAGTGTAGTGTATAGTATAGTGTAGTGTATAGTGTAGTGTAGTGTATAGTGTAGTGTATAGTAGTGTAGTGTATAGTAGTAGTGTATAGTGTAGTGTATAGTAGTAGTGTATAGTGTAGTGTATAGTAGTGTATAGTAGTGCAGTGTATAGCGTGGTGTATAATAGTGTATAGTGTAGTGTATAGTAGTGTAGTGTATAGTAGTATCGTGTATAGTAGTATAGTAGTGTATAGTAGTGTAGTGTATAGTAGTGTAGTGTATAGTAGTGTAGTGTATAGTAGTGTAGTGTATAGTAGTGTAGTGTATAGTAGTGTAGTGTATAGTAGTGTAGTGTATAGTAGTGTAGTGTATAGTAGTGTAGTGTATAGTAGTGTAGTGTATAGTAGTGTAGTGTATAGTAGTGTAGTGTATAGTAGTGTAGTGTATAGTAGTGTAGTGTATAGTAGTATAGTGTATAGTAGTGTAGTATATAGTAGTGTAGTGTATAGTAGTGTAGTGTATAGTAGTGTAGTGTATAGTAGTGTAGTGTATAGTATAGTGTATAGTAGTGTAGTGTATAGTAGTGTAGTGTATAGTAGTGTAGTGTACAGTAGTGTATAGTGTAGTGTATAGTAGTAGTGTATAGTAGTGTAGTGTATAGTAGTGTAGTGTATAGTAGTGTAGTGTATAGTAGTGTAGTGTATAGTAGTGTAGTGTATAGTGTAGTGTATAGTAGTGTAGTGTATAGTGTAGTGTATAGTGTAGTGTATAGTAGTGCAGTGTATAGTAGTGTAGTGTATAGTGTAGTGTATAGTAGTGTAGTGTATAGTAGTGTAGTGTATAGTGTAGTGTATAGTAGTATAGTGTATAGTAGTGTATAGTAGTAGTAGTGCTAGTTAGTCGTGGTAGTGATAGTAGTGATAGTATTGCTAGTAGTTGTAGTAGTGCTAGTAGTGGTAGTTGGTGCTAGTTAGTTGTAGTAGTGATAAATAGTGGTAGTTAGCAGTGATCCTGTATAGTAGTGTATAGTGTAGTGTATAGTAGTGTAGTGTATAGTAGTGTAGTGTATAGTGTAGTGTATAGTAGTGTAGTGTATAGTAGTGTAGTGTATAGTAGTGTATAGTGTAGTGTATAGTAGTGTAGTGTATAGTGTAGTGTATAGTAGTGTATAGTGTAGTGTATAGTAGTGTAGTGTATAGTGTAGTGTATAGTGTAGTGTATAGTAGTGTATAGTGTAGTATATAGTGTAGTGTATAGTAGTGTAGTGTATAGTAGTGTAGTGTATAGTGTAGTGTATAGTATAGTAGTGTATAGTAGTGTATAGTGTAGTATATAGTGTAGTGTATAGTAGTGTAGTGTATAGTAGTGTAGTGTATAGTAGTGTAGTGTATAGTAGTGTAGTGTATAGTAGTGTATAGTAGTGTAGTGTATAGTAGTGTAGTGTATAGTAGTGTATAGTAGTAGTAGTGCTAGTTAGTCGTGGTAGTTAGTGCTAGTTAGTTGTAGTAGTGCTAGTTAGTGCTAGTTAGTTGTAGTAGTGCTAGTGGTAGTTAGTGCTAGTTAGTTGTAGTAGTGCTAGTGGTAGTTAGTGCTAGTTAGTTGTAGTAGTGCTAGCTAGTGGTAGTTAGCAGTGATCCTGATGTCTAAGTCTAAACGCCTCCATGTACCCAGCGAGTTTCTCTGCGTCTGACAGAGACACTGCATTGTAGAGAGACGCACGGACACCACCGACAGACCTGTAGATAGACACACACAGATAGACACACACAGATAGACACACGCAGATAGACACACACAGATAGACACACACACACAGATACACACACACACATAGACACACACAGATAGACACACAGATAGACACACAGATAGACACACAGATAGACACACAGATAGACACAGAGACACACAGATAGACACACACAGATAGACACACGCATTGTAGAGAGACGCACGGACACCACCGACAGACCTGTAGATAGACACACACACAGATAGACACACACGCAGATAGACACACACACAGACAGACACACACATTGTAGAGAGATGCACGGACACCACCGACAGACCTGTAGATAGACACACACGCAGATAGACACACACGCAGATAGACACACACACAGATAGACACACACAGATAGACACACACACAGATAGACACACAGATAGACAAACACACAGATAGACACACACACAGATAGACACACACACAGATAGACACACACAGATAGACACAGATAGACACACACAGATAGATACACACAGATAGAGAGACACACACCACCGACAGACCTGTAGATAGACACACAGATAGACAGACACAGATAGACACACAGATAGACACACACAGAGAGACACACACACAGATAGACACACACACAGATAGACACACACACAGATAGACACAACAACAACAACCGCCATTCGCCACTAAGTGGCGGTGACGTCACCACGACGCTTGTGCCAGGCTATGTGCACCCTGAGGCCACGTGAAGTGTCGAACGCCCGCTGGCAGGAGGTCACGGGGCAGACCCAGGTGCCACGGGTCGACTGACTGAGATGACTGGCTGATGCACCACCTGTGCCCCCTACTGTGCCAACCTGCTGTGCTTTAGCCACCCGGCGCTCCGCTCGCTGTTGTGAGCGTCGCTCCTCCGCCCTCCGTTGTTGTTGGAGGGCGACTGCCTCCAACTGCCCAGTAGCATCCTTCACGAGCCTCCTCCACAGAGGCCGATCTTGACACCGCTGGTACCAGTCATCGGCAAGTCCACTCAGCTCCACGTCCTCCTGTACCACATCACTCCATCTCTTCTCTAGCCCGTGCCGCGCCCGCTTAGCCCCCTCAATCCGGCCAAACAAAAGCTGTTTCGGCATGCGGTGGCTGGGCATGCGGGCTACATGACCCAGCCATCGCAGCCTTGCCTGCCGGAGGAGCTCACCGATGGGACCCTGCCCAGATCTTTCAAGGATTTGTGAGCTCCTCACACAATCCAGTCTGGTTAAACCCAGGATGGACCGTAGGCAGGCCAGCCTAAATGTTTCTAACCGGCGAAGATGTTCCATTAGGGGGGTCCACGTTTCGCAAGCGTAGAGAAGGGAGGGAATGACCGTGGCCGAGAAGACCTGAAGCTTAGTGCGGAGCGACAGACCAGGTAGCTTCCACACAGCGTTACGCAACCGATGAAAAGATATTGCCGCTCGACTGATTCGGAGTGAGACCTCTGCTGTTAAACTGGAGCCAGTCATAAGCACACTGCCCAGGTATGGGAAACTCTCCACTCTCTCCACAACTGCCCCATCACCGATTGGGAGTTGTGGGGGTGGAGTGTCCGATGGTACAAAATACCCAGGCAGGTGCTTAGTTTTGGTGGGGCTGATGGTAAGGCCCCACCTCTTAGTGGCACGCTCCAGTCTCAGCAGCAGCGTCTCCAACTCCTCCTCTGACTGAGCAGCTATTACCAAGTCATCAGCATACATAACGTGGTTGAGCAATAGGGAGCCATCCCTTGACCGCACCCGGGCATCGATTAGCCTCCCATTATATCTGTACCATATGGAGATTCCTCCGGTACAGCTATTGAAGGCTTCACGAACTACGTGGTCAAAATAGATGTTAAATAATGTGGGAGCCAGAGGACATCCCTGTCACACCCCAAGGTGTACAGGGAATGGCTCTGACTCCCGGCCACGTAGTTTTACCCGGGCCCGCTCACCATCATGAAGGTCCTTAATGATCGTGAGCAGAGGGTCAGGTACTCCAAAAGCACGAAGAACGACCCAGAGCCCAGGCCTACTGATGGTATCATAGGCCTTGACCAGGTCAATAAAGCAGAGATGTAGGTCTTGTTGGAATTCCCTACACCTCTGCTGTAGCAGACGGACAGAAAATATGGCATCTGTGCAGGACCGCCCTTTCCTGAAACCGCATTGGGGCTCCGCAAGCCTCTCCTCAGCGTGCCTGGCAAGGCGATGCTGAATAATCCTTGCCAGGACCTTTCCCGGCACAGAGGAGTGAGATGCCCCTGTAGTTGTTACAGTCTGTGCGGTCCCCCTTCTTAAAAAGGGGGACCACCAGGGCATCCTTCCAATCCTGCGGAACCCGTCCAGTGGTCCAGACTGTTGTTATGATGTCATATAGGGCAGTCTGTGCACAAACGCCACCCTCCCTCAGCATTTCGCTTGGGAGATCATCTCTGCCCGCTGCCTTTCCTGGTCTCAGACTCCGGATCGCCTTCAATACTTCATCAGCAGCTGGCACCTCAGCCAGCCACTCACAGGGGGTGACTTCATCCAATATTTGAGGCACCGCAGCCTCAGCAGGGTCATCCTCACTTTGTGCCACGATGTTTTCCTGGCTGAGGGATTTTCCCTCCCCCAGGACCTCACAGAAATGCTCAGCAAATCTGCGAACATGTTCCTGGGGGTCGGAAATTGGATCACCGTTTTTTCCCCTAATGATGGTAATAGGTGTGGCGCTGCAGGTTACTTTTTTGATGGAGTTAAATAGAGATTTGTGATCACGGGCCACTGAGGCAGACTCCATCTCCTCAGCAACCCGCGACCACCACCCATCCTTGCAGCGCCTCACGGCTCTCCGAACCTCCGAGCGAAGGCTGCGGTAAGCCTCCTCATTCTCTGACGTGGGATTCTGTAGCCGATGACAGTGGGCCTGTCGCTTTTTCTCAACCATCCTGAACAACTCCTCTGTCATCCAGGGTCTCTGGGGAGGTCTGGACCGCGTACCCAAAGCAGCCATTGCAGCTGCATGAGTCACAGTCCTAAACCTCGCCCATTTACCCTCGACATCAGGAGGAGTCGGGGACGATGCCAATCCCAGCCGCAAGCGATGATGAAATTCTCGCTTGCAACTTTCATCAGATAACTGAGACCAGGCCACTTTAGGTTGGAATGGGGTCCTGGGTGTACACCCACCACCGGAGTGGAAGAATGGCAGGCGCATCTTACAGATGACTAGTCGATGGTCAGAGGGCAGATCAGCTCCACGGTAGGTCCTGGTGTCAAGGACATGGGCTCGCATTCGCTGGTCCGTCAATATGTAGTCCAGCAGATGTTCTTGCTTGGACCCGGCATGCATCCATGATGTTGTGTGGATGCGCCGATGCCGGAACAGCGTGTTGGTAATTACAAACCCATGGGCTGCACAAAAATCTAGCAGCCTCCTACCGTTGTTATTGAGCTGATCTGGCCCATGCCCTCCAATCACTCCAGACCAGGTGCCAGTATCATGACCAACTCGGGCATTGAAGTCACCCAACATGATGACTCTATCCCGAGGGGCCACTTTAGCCAGCACCTGTGACAGGAGGTCATAGAAGGCATCTGACTCATCGGCTTTGCCTGCATCCCTCCACGGATGTTCATCTTCGGTGGGGGCATAAGTAACCACGACCACCATTCCTCGCCTCCGGTTGATGGGAAGGCGAGCCCAAAGTAGCCTGGGGCTTACAGCTTCCCACACCTCACCGCCACGCTCCCACGCCCCCTTCATTCTTTTGTTCAAAAGAAGACCCACACCCTGTTGTTTGGCAGTCTGCTGCCCCGAGTAGAGGACTGTCCACCCCTCATGGTGGCAGGAGCCAGAGCCGGTCCACCGGACCTCCTGAATGCCGCATAGATCCAGGCGGTACCGGTCCAGCTCCCGACAGAGGAGTGGCAGCCTCTCCTCTGCAGTGAGCGTTCGAACATTCCACGTGGCCACCCGTAGTGGCTTTTCGTTGTTTCTGGAGTAGCCCCGAGGGTAGGTATTCAATCTCCTGGCTCCGCCAATTGGGGTTTGGCCAGGAGACGTCATAGACGCCTGGCCCCCCGGGGCCTCCGGCACAAGCTTAGTTGTTACATATTTCAGTTTAATTCGTGGTTTTGTGGTAATTAATTGAAGGTGGAGGGGTTACCAGCCCCTCGCACCCGTCCAGAGCCCCCGTTTAGCCCCTGTGGTGGACACAGATGCCATGAGGGGAGGAGCCAATCAAAATTGGAACTCCCCCCACAGCGCTGTCCACGACAGAGTTGCCCGTCCGGCACCGCGAGGAGGTAGGGGGTTGTTTTGCCGGACCACACACAGATAGACACACACAGATACACACACACACAGATAGACACACACACAGATAGACACAGATAGATACACACACACAGATAGACACACACAGATAGACACACACAGATAGACACACACACACAGATAGACACACACACACAGATAGACACACACACACAGATAGACACACACACACAGATAGACACACACACAGATAGACACACACAGATAGACACACACACACGGATAGACACACACAGATAGACAAACACACACAGATAGACACACACATTGTAGAGAGATGCACGGATACCACTGACAGACCTGTAGATAGACACACACAGAGAGACACACACACAGATACACACACAGATAGACACACACACACAGATAGACACACGCACACAGATAGACACACACACAGACAGACACACACAGATAAATACACACAGATAGATAAATACACACAGATAGATAGACACACACAGATAGATAGACACACACAGATAGATAGACACACACAGATAGACACACACAGATACACACACAGATAGACACACGCACACAGATAGACACACACAGATAGACACACACAGATAGACACACACACACAGATAGACACACACACACAGATAGACACACACACAAATACACACGCACACAAATACACACGCACAAATACACACGCAGACAGATAGACACACACAGATAGACACACACAGATAGACACACACAGACAGATAGACACACAGAGACACACACCGACAGACCTGTAGATAGACACACACCGACATACCTGTAGATAGACACACACAGATATACCTGTAGATAGACACACACAGATAGACACACACAGATAGACACACTCAGATAGACACACTCAGATAGACACACACAGATAGACAGACACACACAGATAGACACACACAGACACACACAGAGACAGAGAGACAGACAGACACACACACACAGACAGACAGACACACACACAGACAGAGACAGACAGAGAGACAGACAGAGAGAGAGACAGAGAGACAGACACACACACAGACACACACAGACAGAGAGACAGAGAGAGACACACACACACAGACACACACAGACACACACACACAGACAGAGAGAGAGACAGACAGACAGAGACAGAGAGACAGAGAGAGACACAGACAGAGAGAGACACACACAGACACACAGACACACAGATAGACACACAGAGAGACAGACAGACACACACACAGCCACACACAGACAGACAGACAGACACACACACAGAGAGACAGACAGAGAGACAGAGAGACAGACACACACAGACACACACAGACACACACAGAGACACACACACACAGACAGAGAGAGACAGACAGAGACAGACAGACAGAGAGACAGAGAGACAGAGACAGACAGACACACACACAGATAGACACACAGAGAGACAGACAAACACACACACACAGACACACACAGAGAGACAGAGAGACAGAGACAGACACACACACAGACACACACAGAGAGACACACAGACAGACAGACAGAGAGACAGAGACACACACAGACACACACAGAGAGACACACAGACAGACAGAGAGACAAGAGACACACACAGACACACACACACACAGACACACACACAGAGAGAGAGACAGAGAGACACACACACACAGACAGACACACACACACACACACACAGAGACAGACAGAGAGACAGAGACAGAGAGACAGAGAGACACACACACAGACAGAGAGACAGAGAGACAGAGAGAGACACACACACAGACACACACACATACACACACACAGAGAGACAGACAGAGAGACAGAGAGACACACAGAGACACACAGAGAGACAGACAGAGAGAGAGACAGACAGACAGAGAGACAGAGAGACAGACAGATGTTTACCGGTGTCCCTTGAGTCCGAGGAATTTGAGGCTTGCAGCTCCCTCCAGGAAAAGTCTCTCCAGCGACTCGGAGGGGAGACGGAACGGCACATTCATGCGGCTACGGCTGTCTCTCTCCACGGGACAACTGGCAGACACAGAGAGAGAGACACAGAGAGAGACACAGAGACACAGTGACACAGAGACAGAGAGACACAGAGAGAGACAGAGAGAGACACAGTGAGAGAGAGACACAGAGACAGTGAGAGACACAGAGACACACACAGAGAGACAGTGACACAGTGAGACACAGAGAGACCGGCACATTCATACGGCTACGGCTGTCTCTCTCCACGGGACAACTGGCAGACACAGAGAGACACAGAGAGAGACAGAGAGACACAGAGAGACACAGAGACACAGCGAGAGACACAGAGACAGTGAGACACAGAGAGAGAGACAGTGAGACACAGAGATAACGGCACATTCATACGGCTACGGCTGTCTCTCTCCACGGGACAACTGCCAGAGACACAGAGACAGAGAGACAGAGAGACAGTGAGAGACACAGTGAGAGACAGAGAGACAGAGAGACAGAGAGACAGTGAGAGACAGAGAGACACAGAGACAGAGACAGTGAGAGACACAGTGAGAGACAGAGAGACAGAGAGACAGTGAGACACAGAGAGAGACACAGAGAGACACAGAGACAGTGAGACAGAGAGAACGGCACATTCATACGGCTACGGCTGTCTCTCTCCACGGGGCAACTGGCAGAGACACAGAGAGACACAGAGACAGAGAGAGAGACACAGAGAGACAGAGACAGTGAGACACAGAGAGACACAGAGAGACAGAGTGAGAGACACAGAGACAGTGAGACAGTGAGAGACAGAGAGACACAGAGACACAGAGAGACAGAGACACAGAGACAGTGAGACACAGAGAGAACGGCACATTCATACGGCTACGGCTGTCTCTCTCCACGGGACAACTGGCAGAGACACAGAGAGACACAGAGAGACACAGAGAGACAGTGAGAGACACAGAGAGACACAGAGAGACAGTGAGACAGTGAGAGACAGAGAGACAGAGAGACACAGAGAGAACGGCACATTCATACGGCTACGGCTGTCTCTCTCCACGGGACAACTGCCAGAGACAGAGAGACAGAGAGACAGTGAGAGACACAGAGAGACACAGAGAGACAGTGAGAGACACAGAGATACAGAGAGACACAGAGAGAGACACAGAGAGACACAGAGACAGAGACAGTGACAGACACAGAGAGACACAGAGACACACAGAGAGAGAGACAGAGAGAGACAGAGAGAGAGACAGTGAGAGACAGTGAGAGACACAGAGAGAGACAGTGACACAGAGACAGTGAGAGACAGAGACACAGAGAGAGACAGAGACAGAGACAGTGAGAGACACAGAGAGACACAGAGACACACAGAGAGAGAGACAGAGATACAGAGACACAGAGACACAGAGACACAGAGAGACACAGAGACACTGACAGTGAGAGACACAGAGATACAGAGAGAGACACAGAGAGAGACAGAGACACAGTGAGACACAGAGACACAGAGACAGTGAGAGAAAGACACAGAGACCGAGAGACAGTGAGAGACAGAGAGACAATGAGAGACACAGAGAGACAGAGACAGAGAGAGAGAGAACGGCAAATTCATGCGGCTACGGCTGTCTCTCTCCACGGGACAACTGGCAGAGACACAGAGAGACACAGAGAGAGAGAGACAGTGAGAGACACAGAGAGAGACACAGAGACAGAGAGAGACACAGAGAAAGACACAGAGACAGAGAGACACAGAGATACAGAGACAGAGAGAGACAGAGAGAGACAGAGAGAGAGACAGAGACACAGAGAGAGACAGAGAGACACAGAGAGACAGTGACACAGAGAGAGACACAGAGAGAGAGACAGAGACACAGAGACACAGACAGTGCGAGACACAGAGACACAGAGAGACAGAGACAGCGAGAGAGACAGTGAGACACAGAGACACAGAGACACACAGAGAGACACAGAGACAGAGAGACACAGAGACACACAGAGAGACACAGAGAGACACAGAGACAGAGACAGGGAGAGACACGTTGTGTCTATAATTACACAGAGACACAGAGACAGAGACACAGGGAGACACAGAGAGACGCAGAGAGACACACGGAGACACGCTGTGTCTATACTTACACAGAGACACAGAGACAGGGAGAGAGAGACACAGAGAGACACACAGAGAGAGAGAGAGAGACAGAGAGACACAGAGACACACAGAGACACACAGAGACAGAGAGACACAGAGACACACACAGAGACACAGAGACACAGAGAGACAGAGACACACAGGGAGATACAGAGAGACAGAGACACAGAGAAAGACAGAGAGAGACACAGAGACACACAGAGACACAGAGACACACAGAGACACAGAGAGAGACACAGAGACACAGAGACAGACACGGAGACACAGAGAGAGACAGAGACACAGAGAGAGACAGAGACACACAGAGAGACACAATGACACACAGAGAGACACAGAGACACACAGAGAGACAGACACAGAGAGACAGACACGGAGACACACAGAGAGACAGAGACACACAGAGAGACAGAGACACACAGAGAGACACAATGACACACAGAGAGACACAGAGACACACAGAGAGACAGACACAGAGACAGACACGGAGACACACAGAGAGACAGAGACACACAGAGAGACAGAGACACACAGAGAGACACAGAGACACACAGAGAGACACAGAGACACACAGAGAGACAGACACAGAGACAGACACGGAGACACACAGAGAGACAGAGACACACAGGGAGACACAGGGGGATACAGAGAGACAGAGAGAGAGACACAGAGAGAGACAGAGACACAGAGAGACACAGAGACACACAGAGAGACACAGAGAGAGACACAGAGAGACAGAGACACACACGGAAACACAGAGACACAGACACAGAGAGACACAGAGACACAGAGAGAGACACAGAGACACAGAGAGACAGAGACACACAGAGACACAGAGAGAGACACAGAGACACAGAGAGAGACACAGAGACAGACACGGAGACACACAGAGACAGAGACACAGAGAGAGACAGAGACACACAGAGAGACACAGAGACACACAGAGAGACAGACACAGAGACAGACACGGAGACACACAGAGAGACAGAGACACACAGGGAGACACAGGGGGATACAGAGAGACAGAGAGAGAGACACAGAGAGAGACAGAGACACAGAGAGACACAGAGAGAGACACAGAGAGACACAGAGAGAGACACAGAGAGACAGAGACACACACGGAAACACAGAGACACAGACACAGAGAGACAGAGACACAGAGACACAGAGAGAGACACAGAGACACAGAGAGACAGAGACACACAGAGACACACACACAGAGACACAGAGAGAGACACAGAGAGAGACACGGAGACACAGAGAGACAGAGACACACAGAGACACAGAGAGAGCCACAGACACACAGAGAGACACAGAGAGAGACAGAGACACAGAGACAGGGAGACAGAGATACACACAGAGACACAGAGAGACAGAGACACACAGGGAGACACAGGGAGATACAGAGACACAGAGAAAGACAGAGAGAGACACAGAGACACAGAGAGAGACACAGAGAGAGACACAGAGAGAGACACAGAGAGAGACACACAGAGAGACACAGAGAGAGACACAGAGAGAGACACAGAGAGACAGAGACACACACGGAAACACAGAGACACAGACACAGAGAGACAGAGACACAGAGACACAGAGAGAGACACAGAGACACAGAGAGACAGAGACACACAGAGACACACACACAGAGACACAGAGAGAGACACAGAGAGACAGAGACACAGAGAGAGACACGGAGACACAGAGAGACAGAGACACACAGAGACACAGAGAGAGCCACAGACACACAGAGAGACACAGAGAGAGACAGAGACACAGAGACAGGGAGACAGAGATACACACAGAGACACAGAGAGACAGAGACACACAGGGAGACACAGGGAGATACAGAGACACAGAGAAAGACAGAGAGAGACACAGAGACACAGAGAGAGACACAGAGAGAGACACAGAGAGAGACACGGAGACACACAGAGACACACAGAGACACACAGAGAGACAGAGACACACAGAGAGACAGAGACACACAGAGACACAGGGAGACACAGAGACACAGACAGACACGCTGTGTCTCTACTTACACAGAGACAGGGAGACAGAGACACAGAGAGACACAGAGACAGAGACACAGAGACACAGAGGGAGACACAGAGAGACACAGAGAGACACAGAGAGAGACAGACAGACAGACACACAGACACACAGAGACACAGAGAGACAGACACAGAGAAACACAGAGACACAGAGAGACAGACACGGAGACACAGAGACAGAGACACACAGAGAGACACACAGAGAGACAGAGACACACAGAGACACAGAGAGAGAGACACGGAGACACACAGAGACACACAGAGACACACAGACACACAGAAACACACAGAGACACACAGAGACACACAGAGACACACAGAGACACAGAGAGACACACAGAGACACACAGAGACACACAGAGAGAGACACAGAGAGACACACAGAGAGACACACAGAGAGACACACAGAGAGACACACAGAGAGACACACAGAGAGACACAGAGACACAGAGACACACAAAGAGACAGACACGGAGACACACAGAGACACACAGAGACACACAGAGAGACACAGAGAGACACAGAGAGACAGAGACACAGAGAGACACACAGAGAGACACGCTGTGTCTCTACGTACGAGTAGAACCCCTCCGAGTTCTCGATGGCTGAGTAGACCGTTTCAGCCTTGGCCACGTTCTGAGCCTCCATGCCCTCAGCTCCCCCGTTCAGCCGGATCCACTCCAACACCAGCATCATGATGTAGATACTGAGACACGCGGGGAGAGAGACACGGTGAGTGAGACACGGTGAGTGAGACAGAGAGACAGAGAGACAGACAGAGAGACAGAGACAGAGAGTGTCCCACCTGTAGCAGGGAGGCGTGTTGTAGAGGGAGCCCTCCCGAGCCAGCGTGAGACACGGTGAGACAGAGAGACACAGAGACAGACAGAGAGACATAGAGAGACAGAGACACACAGACATAGACAGACACCTGTAGCAGGGAGGCGTGTTGTAGAGGGAGCCCTCCCGAGCCAGCGTGAGACACGGTGAGACAGAGAGACACAGAGACAGACAGAGAGACATAGAGAGACAGAGACACACAGACATAGACAGACACCTGTAGCAGGAAGGCGTGTTGTAGAGGGAGCCCTCCCGAGCCAGCGTGAGACACGGTGAGACAGAGAGACAGACAGAGAGACAGAGAGACAGAGACACAGAGAGACAGAGAGACAGACAGACAGAGAGACAGAGAGACACATAGACAGACACCCACCCACCTGTAGCAGGGAGGCGTGTTGTAGAGGGAGCCCTCCCGAGCCAGCGTGAGACACAGAGAGACAGACAGAGACACAGAGACACAGACAGAGAGACACAGAGACATAGACAGACACACCTGTAGCAGGGAGGCGTGTTGTAGAGGGAGCCCTCCCGAGCCAGCGTGAGACACAGAGAGACAGACAGAGACACAGAGACACAGACATAGACAGACACCTGTAGCAGGGAGGCGTGTTGTAGAGGGAGCCCTCCCGGGCCAGCGAGAGACACGGTGAGTGAGACACAGAGAGACAGACACAGAGACAGAGAGACACAGACATAGACAGACACACCTGTAGCAGGGAGGCGTGTTGTAGAGGGAGCCCTCCCGAGCCAGCGTGAGACACAGAGAGACAGACAGAGACACAGAGACACAGACAGAGAGACACAGAGACATAGACAGACACCTGTAGCAGGGAGGCGTGTTGTAGAGGGAGCCCTCCCGAGCCAGCGTGAGACACAGAGAGACAGACAGAGACACAGAGACACAGACAGAGAGACACAGAGACATAGACAGACACACCTGTAGCAGGGAGGCGTGTTGTAGAGGGAGCCCTCCCGAGCCAGCGTGAGACACAGACAGAGAGACAGAGAGACACAGACATAGACAGAGAGACAGAGACACAGACAGAGACACAGAGACATAGACAGACACCTGTAGCAGGGAGGCGTGTTGTAGAGGGAGCCCTCCCGAGCCAGCGTGAGACACAGACAGAGAGACAGAGAGACACAGACATAGACAGAGAGACAGAGACACAGACAGAGACACACAGACATAGACAGACACCTGTAGCAGGGAGGCGTGTTGTAGAGGGAGCCCTCCTGAGCCAGCGTGAGACACAGACAGAGAGACAGAGAGACACAGACATAGACAGAGAGACAGAGACACAGACAGAGACACACAGACATAGACAGACACCTGTAGCAGGGAGGCGTGTTGTAGAGGGAGCCCTCCCGAGCCAGCGAGAGACACGGTGAGTGAGACAGAGACACAGTGAGTGAGACACAGACATAGACAGACATAGACAGACACCTGTAGCAGGGAGGCGTGTTGTAGAGGGAGCCCTCCCGAGCCAGCGTGAGACACAGACACAGACAGACAGAGAGACACAGAGACATAGACAGACACCTGTAGCAGGGAGGCGTGTTGTAGAGGGAGCCCTCCCGAGCCAGCGTGAGACACAGAGAGACAGAGAGACACAGACACAGACATAGACAGACATAGACAGACACCTGTAGCAGGGAGGCGTGTTGTAGAGGGAGCCCTCCCGAGCCAGCGTGCCGTAGTCCATGACCACGGGGCAAGGCCCCAGGGCGTGGCCCAGGAGGTCTCCACGAGCCACCACCACAGTGACACCCGCACAGCCAACGTTCTTCTGAGCACCTGCCATGATCACACCAAACTGGGGGGGGGGCGGGGTTAGGGCGGGGTCAGGGCGGGGTCAGGGGGCGGAGTCAGGGGCGGGGTTAGAGGCGGGGTTAGAGGCGGGGTTGTGGGCGGGGTTGTGGGCGGGGTTGTGGGAGGGGAAGGGTGGGGTCAGGGTGGGGTTAGGGGGCGGAGTTAGAGGCGGGGTTAGAGGCGTGGTTGTGGGGTGGGGTTGTGGGAGGGGAAGGGTGGGGTCAGGGCGGGGTTGTAGGCGGGGTTGTGGGCGGGGTTGTGGGCGGGGTTGTGGTTGTGGGCGTGGTTGTGGGCGTGGTTGTGGGCGTGGTTAGGGGCGTGATTGTGGGCGTGGTTGTGGGCTGGGAGTGAGTGTCTGAGGTCTCCACGAGCCACCACCACGATGACACCCGCACAGCCAACGTTCTTCTGAGCGCCTGCCATGATCACACCAAACTGGGGGCGGGGCGGGGTCAGGGGGCGTGGTTAGAGGCGGGGTTAGAGGCGGGGTTAGAGGCGGGGTCGTGGGCGTGGTTAGGGGCGTGGTTAGAGGCGTGGATGTGGGCGTGGTTGTGGGCTGGGAGTGAGTGTCTGAGGTCTCCACGAGCCACCACCACAGTGACACCCGCACAGCCAACGTTCTTCTGAGCACCTGCCATGATCACACCAAACTGGGGGCGGGGCCAGGGGGCGTGGTTAGAGGCGGGGTTAGAGGCGGGGTTAGAGGCGTGGTTGTGGGCGTGGTTGTGGGCGGGGTTGTGGGCGTGGTTAGAGGCGGGGTCGTGGGCGTGGTTGTGGGCGTGGTTGTGGGCGGGGTCGTGGGCGTGGTTAGGGGCGGGGTTGTGGGCGGGGATGTGGGCGTGGTTAGGGGCGTGGTTGTGGGCGTGGTTGTGGGCGTGGTTGTGGGCGTGGTTGTGGGCTGGGAGTGAGTGTCTGAGGTCTCCACGAGCCACCACCACGGTGACACCCGCACAGCCAACGTCCTTCTGAGCACCTGCCATGATCACACCAAACTGGGGGGGGCGGGGCCAGGGGCGGGGTCAGGGCGGGGTCAGGGTTGTGGGGCGGGGTTAGGGGCGGGGTTGTGGGGCGGGGTTAGGGGCGTGGTTGTGGGCGTGGTCAGGGGGCAGGGTTAAGGGGTGGGGTTGTGGGAGGGACAGGGTGGGGTCAGGGTGGGGTCAGGGTGCGGGGTTGTGGGCGTGGTTAGGGGCAGGGTCAGGGGCGGGGTCAGGGGCGGGGTTGTGGGGCGGGGTTGTGGGCGTGGCTAGGGGCGGGGTCAGGGGCGGGGTCAGGGGCGGGGTTAGGGGCGGGGTTAGGGGCGTGGTTAAGGGCGGGGTTAGGGGCGGGGTTGTGGAGCGGGGTTAGAGGCGGGGTTAGGGGCGGGGTTGGGGGCGGGGTTGTGGGCATGGTCAGGGGCGGGGTCAGGAGCGGGGTTGTGGGCAGGGTTAAAGGCGGGGTTGTGGGCGGGGTTGTGGGCGTGGTCAGGGGCGTGGTTAGGGGCGGGACAGGGTGGGGTCAGGGTGGGGTTAGGGGGCGGGGTTAGGGGCGGGGTCGTGGGCGTGGTCAGGGGCGTGGTTAGGGGCGGGACAGGGTGGGGTCAGGGTGGGGTTAGGGGGCGGGGTTAGGGGCGGGGTTGTGGGGCGGGGTCGTGGGCGGGGAGCGAGTGTCTGAGTGAGTGTCTGAGTGAGTGTCTGAGTGAGTGTCTGAGTGTCTGAGTGAGTGTCTGAGTGAGTGAGTGTCTGAGTGAGTGTCTGAGTGAGTGAGTGTCTGAGTGAGTGTCCGAGTGAGTGTCTGACTGAGTGAGACACTCACCTGTCCGACATCAACGGGACGAGACAGGAAGTTGTAAGACATGTCACACACCAGCGTGAGTGAGTGTCTGAGTGAGTGTCTGAGTGAGTGTTTGAGTCTCTGAGTGACTGAGTGAGTGTCTGAGTGAGTGTCTGAGTGAGTGAGTCTCTGAGTGAGTGAGTGAGTCTCTGAGTGAGTGAGTCTCTGAGTGAGTGAGTGAGTCTCTGAGTGAGTGAGTGAGTGTCTGAGTGAGTGTCTGATTGAGTGTCTGAGTGAGTGAGTGTCTGAGTGAGTGAGTGAGTGTCTGAGTGAGTGAGTCTCTGAGTGAGTGAGTGAGTGACTGAGCCTCTGAGTGTCTGAGTGACTGAGTGAGACACCCACCTGTCCGACATCAACGGGACGAGACAGGAAATTGGAAGACATGTCACACACCAGCGTGAGTGAGTGTCTGAGTGAGTGTCTGATTGAGTGTCTGAGTCTCTGAGTGAGTGAGTCTCTGAGTGAGTGTCTGAGTGTCTGATTGAGTGTCTGAGTCTCTGAGTGTCTGAGTGAGTGAGTGTCTGAGTGAGTGTCTGAGTGTCTGAGTGAGACACCCACCTGTCCGACATCAATGGGACGAGACAGGAAGTTGGAAGACATGTCACACACCAGCGTGAGTGAGTGTCTGAGTGAGTGTCTGAGTGAGTGTCTGAGTGAGTGTCTGAGTGAGTGAGTGTCTGAGTGTCTGAGTGAGACACCCACCTGTCCGACATCAACGGGACGAGACAGGAAGTTGGAAGACATGTCACACACCAGCGTGAGTGAGTGTCTGAGTGAGTGTCTGAGTGAGTGTCTGAGTGAGTGTCTGAGTGAGTGAGTGTCTGAGTGTCTGACTGAATGTCTGAGTGAGACACCCACCTGTCCGACATCAACGGGACGAGACAGGAAGTTGGAAGACATGTCACACACCAGCGTGAGTGAGTGTCTGAGTGAGTGTCTGAGTGAGTGAGTGTCTGAGTGTCTGACTGAATGTCTGAGTGAGACACCCACCTGTCCGACATCAACGGGACGAGACAGGAAGTTGGAAGACATGTCACACACCAGCGTGAGTGAGTGTCTGAGTGAGTGTCTGAGTGAGTGTCTGAGTGAGTGTCTGAGTGAGTGAGTGTCTGAGTGTCTGAGTGAGACACCCACCTGTCCGACATCAACGGGACGAGACAGGAAGTTGGAAGACATGTCACACACCAGCGTGAGTGAGTGTCTGAGTGAGTGTCTGAGTGAGTGTCTGAGTGAGTGTCTGAGTGAGTGAGTGTCTGAGTGTCTGACTGAATGTCTGAGTGAGACACCCACCTGTCCGACATCAACGGGACGAGACAGGAAGTTGGAAGACATGTCACACACCAGCGTGAGTGAGTGTCTGAGTGAGTGTCTGAGTGAGTGTCTGAGTGAGTGAGTGTCTGAGTGTCTGACTGAATGTCTGAGTGAGACACCCACCTGTCCGACATCAACGGGACGAGACAGGAAGTTGGAAGACATGTCACACACCAGCGTGAGTGAGTGTCTGAGTGAGTGTCTGAGTGAGTGTCTGAGTGAGTGTCTGAGTGAGTGAATGTCTGAGTGTCTGAGTGAGACACCCACCTGTCCGACATCAACGGGACGAGACAGGAAGTTGGAAGACATGTCACACACCAGCGTGAGTGAGTGTCTGAGTGAGTGAGTGTCTGAGTGAGTGTCTGAGTGTCTGAGTGAGACACCCACCTGTCCGACATCAACGGGACGAGACAGGAAGTTGGAAGATATGTCACACACCAGCGTGAGTGAGTGTCTGAGTGAGTGAGTGTCTGAGTGAGTGTCTGAGTGTCTGAGTGAGACACCCACCTGTCCGACATCAACGGGACGAGACAGGAAGTTGGAAGACATGTCACACACCAGCGTGAGTGAGTGTCTGAGTGAGTGAGTGTCTGAGTGAGTGTCTGAGTGTCTGAGTGAGACACCCACCTGTCCGACATCAACGGGACGAGACAGGAAGTTGGAAGACATGTCACACACCAGCGTGAGTGAGTGTCTGAGTGAGTGAGTGTCTCAGTGAGTGAGTGACTGAGTGAGTGTCTGAGTGAGTGAGTCTCTGAGTGAGTGAGTGTCTGAGTGAGTGAGTCTCTGAGTGAGTGTCTGAGTGAGTGTCTGATTGAGTGAGTGTCTGAGTGAGTGAGTGAGTGTCTGAGTGAGTGAGTGTCTGAGTGTCTGAGTGACTGAGTGAGTGAGTGTCTGAGTGAGTGTCTGAGTGAGTGTCTGAGTGAGTGTTTGAGTCTCTGAGTGACTGAGTGAGTCTCTGAGTGAGTGTCTGAGTGAGTGTCTGATTGAGTGAGTGTCTGAGTGAGTGAGTGAGTGAGTGTCTGAGTGAGTGTCTGAGTGACTGAGTGAGACACCCACCTGTCCGACATCAACGGGACGAGACAGGAAGTTGGAAGACATGTCACACACCAGCGTGAGTGAGTGTCTGAGTGAGTGTCTGAGTGAGTGAGTGAGTGTCTGAGTGAGTGTCTGAGTGAGTGAGTGTCTGAGTGAGTGTCTGAGTGAGTCTCTAAGTGAGTGAGTCTCTGAGTGAGTGAGTGAGTCTCTGAGTGACTGAGTGAGTGTCTGAGTGAGTGAGTGTCTGAGTGAGTGAGTGTCTGAGTGAGTGAGTGTCTGAGTGAGTGTCTGAGTGTCTGAGTGAGACACCCACCTGTCCGACATCAACGGGACGAGACAGGAAGTTGGAAGACATGTCACACACCAGCGTGAGTGTCTGAGTGAGTGTCTGAGTGACTGAGTGAGACACCCACCTGTCCGACATCAACGGGACGAGACAGGAAGTTGGAAGACATGTCACACACCAGCGTGAGTGAGTGTCTGAGTGAGTGTCTGAGTGAGTGAGTCTCTGAGTGAGTGAGTGAGTCTCTGAGTGAGTGAGTGAGTCTCTGAGTGGGTGAGTCTCTGAGTGAGTGAGTGTCTGAGTGAGTGAGTGAGTGTCTGAGTGAGTGTCTGAGTGAGTGAGTCTCTGAGTGAGTGTCTGAGTGAGTGTCTGAGTGAGTGTCTGAGTGAGTGAGTGTCTGAGTGAGTGAGTGAGTGTCTGAGTGAGTGAGTGTCTGAGTGACTGAGTGAGACACCCACCTGTCCGACATCAACGGGACGAGACAGGAAGTTGGAAGACATGTCACACACCAGCGTGAGTGAGTGTCTGAGTGAGTGTCTGAGTGAGTGAGTCTCTGAGTGAGTGAGTGAGTCTCTGAGTGAGTGAGTCTCTGAGTGAGTGAGTCTCTGAGTGAGTGAGTCTCTGAGTGAGTGAGTGAGTCTCTGAGTGTCTGAGTGAGTGTCTGAGTGAGTGAGTGTCTGAGTGAGTGAGTGTCTGAGTGAGTGAGTGTCTGAGTGAGTGTCTGAGTGTCTGAGTGAGACACCCACCTGTCCGACATCAACGGGACGAGACAGGAAGTTGGAAGACATGTCACACACCAGCGTGAGTGAGTGTCTGAGTGAGTGTCTGAGTGAGTGAGTCTCTGAGTGAATGAGTGAGTCTCTGAGTGAGTGAGTCTCTGAGTGAGTGAGTCTCTGAGTGAGTGAGTCTCTGAGTGAGTGAGTGAGTCTCTGAGTGTCTGAGTGAGTGTCTGAGTGAGTGAGTGTCTGAGTGAGTGAGTGTCTGAGTGAGTGAGTGTCTGAGTGAGTGTCTGAGTGTCTGAGTGAGACACCCACCTGTCCGACATCAACGGGACGAGACAGGAAGTTGGAAGACATGTCACACACCAGCGTGAGTGAGGGTCTGAGTGAGTGTCTGAGTGAGTGAGTGTCTGAGTGAGTGTCTGAGTGAGACACCCACCTGTCCGACATCAACGGGACGAGACAGGAAGTTGGAAGACATGTCACACACCAGCGTGAGTGAGTGTCTGAGTGAGTGAGTGTCTGAGTGAGTGTCTGAGTGAGTGTCTGAGTGTCTGAGTGAGTGTCTGAGTGAGTGAGTGTCTGAGTGAGTGAGTGGCTGAGTGAGTGTCTGAGTGAGTGAGTGTCTGAGTGAGTCTCTGAGTGAGTGAGTGTCTGAGTGACTGAGTGAGACACCCACCTGTCCGACATCAACGGGACGAGACAGGAAGTTGGAAGACATGTCACACACCAGCGTGAGTGAGTGTCTGAGTGAGTGAGTGAGACACCCACCTGTCCGACATCAACGGGACGAGACAGGAAGTTGGAAGACATGTCACACACCAGCGTGAGTGAGTGTCTGAGTGAGTGAGTGTCTGAGTGAGTGTCTGAGTGTCTGAGTGTCTGAGTGAGTGTCTGAGTGAGTGAGTGACTGAGTGAGTGTCTGAGTGAGTGAGTGTCTGAGTGAGTGAGTGTCTGAGTGAGTGTCTGAGTGAGTGAGTGTCTGAGTGTCTGAGTGAGACACCCACCTGTCCGACATCAACGGGACGAGACAGGAAGTTGGAAGACATGTCACACACCAGCGTGAGTGAGTGTCTGAGTGAGTGTCTGAGTGATTGAGTCTCTGAGTGAGTGAGTATCTGAGTGAGTGTCTGAGTGAGTGTCTGAGTGTCTGAGTGAGACACCCACCTGTCCGACATCAACGGGACGAGACAGGAAGTTGGAAGACATGTCACACACCAGCGTGAGTGAGTGTCTGAGTGAGTGAGTGAGACACCCACCTGTCCGACATCAACGGGACGAGACAGGAAGTTGGAAGACATGTCACACACCAGCGGGACATCAGTAGCGTGCCTGGGCGGCTGACGGAACTCCACGCCGTGAATCGTCTCGTTGCTGCAGTAGTAGAGGTAGCTGGCATCTTCATTCACCTTCACGTCCAGGGGAACACCTACAGTACATACAGTACACATACAGTACACACAGTACACACAGTGTACATACAGTACATACAGTACACAGTCTCGTTGCTGCAGTAGTAGAGGTAGCTGGCATCTTCATTCACCTTCACGTCCAGGGGAACACCTACAGTACATACAGTACACACAGTACATACAGTACACACAGTCTCGTTGCTGCAGTAGTAGAGGTAGCTGGCATCTTCATTCACCTTCACGTCCAGGGGAACACCTACAGTACATACAGTACACACAGTACATACAGTACATACAGTGCACACAGTGTACATACAGTACACAGTCTCGTTGCTGCAGTAGTAGAGGTAGCTGGCATCTTCATTCACCTTCACGTCCAGGGGAACACCTACAGTGCATACAGTACATACAGTACACACACAGTGTACATACAGTACACAGTCTCGTTGCTGCAGTAGTAGAGGTAGCTGGCATCTTCATTCACAATCACGTCCAGGGGAACACCTACAGTACACACAGTACATACAGTGCATACAGTGCATACAGTGCATACAGTACACACACAGTACATACAGTACACACAGTATCGTTACTGCAGTAGTAGAGGTAGCTGGCATCTTCATTCACAATCACGTCCAGGGGAACACCTACAGTACACACAGTACATACAGTACACACAGTACATACAGTACACACCGTACACACAGTACATACAGCACATACAGTACATACAGTGCGCACAGTGCATACAGTACACACAGTACATACAATGTATACAGTGCATACAGTGCACATACAGTACACATACAGTGCACATACAGTACACAGTCTCGTTACTGCAGTAGTAGAGGTAGCTGGCATCTTCATTCACAATCACGTCCAGGGGAACACCTACAGTACATACAGTACATACAGTACACACACCGTACATACAGTACACACAGTATCGTTACTGCAGTAGTAGAGGTAGCTGGCATCTTCACTCACATTCACGTCCAGGGGAACACCTACAGTACATACAGTACATACAGTGCACACAGTACACACAGTACATACAGTACATACAGTACATACAATACATACGGTGCATGCAGTACATACAGTACATACAATGCATACAGTGCACAGTCTCGTTGCTGCAGTAGTAGAGGTAGCTGGCATCTTCATTCACAATCACGTCCAGGGGAACACCTACAGTACATACAGTACACACAGTACACACAGTACACACAGTGCATACAGTGCATACAGTGCGCACAGTACATACACATACAGTACACAGTATCGTTACTGCAGTAGTAGAGGTAGCTGGCATCTTCATTCACATTCACGTCCAGGGGAACACCTACAGTACATACAGCACGTACATACAGTGCATACAGTACACACAGTACACACACAGTGCGTACAGTACATACAGTACATACAGTACACACAGTACACACAGTACATACAGTACACAGTCTCGTTACTGCAGTAGTAGAGGTAGCTGGCATCTTCATTCACAATCACGTCCAGGGGGACACCTACAGTACATACAGTACATACAGTACACAGTCTCGTTACTGCAGTAGTAGAGGTAGCTGGCATCTTCACTCACATTCACGTCCAGGGGAACACCTACAGTACATACAGTACATACAGTACACACACAGTACACACAGTGCACACACACACACACAGTACACACACACACAGTACACACACACACACAGTACACACACACACAGTACACACACACACACACACAGTACACACACACACAGTAAACACAGTACACACACACACAGTACACACACACACAGTACACACACAGTACACACACAGTACATACAGTACATACAGTGCACACAGTACATACACATACAGTACACAGTCTCGTTACTGCAGTAGTAGAGGTAGCTGGCATCTTCATTCACATTCACGTCCAGGGGAACACCTACAGTACATACAGCACATACAGTACATACAGTACACACAGTACACACAGTACATACAGTACACACACACTACACACACAGTACACACACAGTACACACACAGTACACACACACACAGTGTACACACAGTACACACACACAGTACACACACACAGTACACACAGTACACACACACAGTACACACAGTACACACACACAGTACACACAGTACACACACACAGTACACACACCACACACAGTACACACACACAGTACACACACCACACACAGTACACACAGTACACACACACTACACACACACACACACAGTACACACACACAGTACACACACACACACACACAGTACACACACACACACAGTACACACACACACACAGTACACACACACACACACTACACACACACACACAGTACACACACACACACACTACACACACACACACACACTACACACACACACACAGTACACACACACACACAGTACACACACACACACACAGTACACACACACACACACAGTACACACACACACACACAGTACACACACACACACACAGTACACACACACACACACAGTACACACACACACACACAGTACACACACACACACACAGTACACACACACACACACAGTACACACACACACACACAGTACACACACACACACAGTACACACACACACACACACAGTACACACACACACACACAGTACACACACACACACACAGTACACACACACACACACAGTACACACACACACACACAGTACACACACACACACAGTATACACACACACACACACAGTACACACACACACACACAGTACACACACACACAGTACACACACACACAGTACACACACACACACACACAGTACACACACACACACAGTACACACACACACACACACAGTACACACACACACACAGTACACACACACAGTACACACACACAGTACACACACACACACAGTACACACACACAGTACACACAGTACACAGAGTACACACACACACACAGCACACACACAGCACACACACACAGTACACAGTACATACACAGTACACACACAGCACACACACAGTGTACACACAGTACACACACACACACAGTACACACACACAGTGTACACAGTACACACACACAGTACACACACACAGTACACACACACAGACAGTACACACACACAGTACACACACACAGTACACACAGTACACAGAGTACACACAGCACACACACAGCACACACACACAGTACACAGTACATACACAGTACACACACAGCACACACACAGTGTACACACAGTACACACACACACACAGTACACACAGTACACACACACACAGTACACACAGTACACACACACAGTACACACACACACACAGTACACACACACACACACAGTACACACACACAGTACACACACAGCACACACACACACACAGTGTACACACAGTACACACACACAGTACACACACACAGTACACACACACACAGTACACACACACACACACAGTACACACACACAGTACACACACACACAGTGTACACACAGTACACACAGTACACACACACAGTACACACAGTACACACACACAGTACACACACACACACACAGTACACACACACACAGTACACACACACACAGTGACACACACACACAGACACTCACACACACAGTACACACACACACACACAGTACACACACACACAGTACACACACACACAGTACACACACACACACAGTGACACACACACACAGTGTCTGTGTGTGTGTCACTGTGTGTGTGTCACTGTGTGTGTGTGTACTGTGTGTGTGTGTACTGTGTGTGTGTACTGTGTGTACTGTGTGTGTGTACTGTGTGTACTGTGTGTGTGTGTGTACTGTGTGTACACTGTGTGTGTGTGTGTGTACTGTGTGTGTGTGTACTGTGTGTCCGGCAAAACAACCCCCTACCTCCTCGCGGTGCCGGACGGGCAACTCTGTCATGGACAGTGCTGTGGGGAGAGATCCAATTTTGATTGGCTCCTCCCCTCATGGCATATATGTCCACCACAGGGGCTAAACGGGGGCTCTGGACGGGTGCGAGGGGCTGGTAACCCCTCCACCTTCAATTAATTACCACGAAACCACGAATTAAACTGAAATATGTAACTAATAAGCTTGTGCCGGAGGCCCCGGGGGGCCAGGCGTCTATGACGTCTCCTGGCCAAACCCCAATTGGCGGAGCCAGGAGATTGAATACCTACCCTCGGGGCTACTCCAGAAACAACGAAAAGCCACTACGGGTGACCACGTGGAATGTTCGAACGCTCACTGCAGAGGAGAGGCTGCCACTCCTCTGTCGGGAGCTGGACCGGTACCGCCTGGATCTATGCGGCATTCAGGAGGTCCGGTGGACCGGCTCTGGCTCCTGCCACCATGAGGGGTGGACAGTCCTCTACTCGGGGCAGCAGACTGCCAAACAACAGGGTGTGGGTCTTCTTGTGAACAAAAGAATGAAGGGGGCGTGGGAGCGTGGCGGTGAGGTGTGGGAAGCTGTAAGCCCCAGGCTACTTTGGGCTCGCCTTCCCATCAACCGGAGGCGAGGAATGGTGGTCGTGGTTACTTATGCCCCCACCGAAGATGAACATCCGTGGAGGGATGCAGGCAAAGCCGATGAGTCAGATGCCTTCTATGACCTCCTGTCACAGGTGCTGGCTAAAGTGGCCCCTCGGGATAGAGTCATCATGTTGGGTGACTTCAATGCCCGAGTTGGTCATGATACTGGCACCTGGTCTGGAGTGATTGGAGGGCATGGGCCAGATCAGCTCAAAAACAACGGTAGGAGGCTGCTAGATTTTTGTGCAGCCCATGGGCTTGTAATTACCAACACGCTGTTCCGGCATCGGCGCATCCACACAACATCATGGATGCATGCCGGGTCCAAGCAAGAACATCTGCTGGACTACATAGTGACGGACCAGCGAATGCGAGCCCATGTCCTTGACACCAGGACCTACCGTGGAGCTGATCTGCCCTCTGACCATCGACTAGTCATCTGTAAGATGCGCCTGCCATTCTTTCACTCCGGTGGTGGGTGTACACCCAGGACCCCATTCCAACATAAAGTGGCCTGGTCTCAGTTATCTGATGAAAGTTGCAAGCGAGAATTTCATCATCGCTTGCGGCTGGGATTGGCATCGTCCCCGACTCCTCCTGATGTCGAGGGTAAATGGGCGAGGTTTAGGACTGTGACTCATGCAGCTGCAATGGCTGCTTTGGGTACGCGGTCCAGACCTCCCCAGAGACCCTGGCTGACAGAGGAGGTGTTCAGGATGGTTGAGAAAAAGCGACAGGCCCACTGTCATCGGCTACAGAATCCCACGTCAGAGAATGAGGAGGCTTACCGCAGCCTTCGCTCGGAGGTTCGGAGAGCCGTGAGGCGCTGCAAGGATGGGTGGTGGTCACGGGTTGCTGAGGAGATGGAGTCTGCCTCAGTGGCCCGTGATCACAAATCTCTATTTAACTCCATCAAAAAAGTAACCTGCAGCTCCACACCTATTACCATCATTAGGGGAAAAAACGGTGATCCAATCTCCGACCCCCAGGAACAGCTTCGCAGATTTGCTGAGCATTTCTGTGAGGTCCTGGGGGAGGGAAAATCCCTCAGCCAGGAAAACATCGTGGCACAAAGTGAGGATAACCCTGCTGAGGCTGCGGTGCCTCAAATATTGGAAGAAATAACCCCCTGTGAGTGGCTGGCTGAGGTGCCATCTGCTGAGGAAGTATTGAAGGCGATCCGGAGTCTGAAACCAGGAAAGGCAGCGGGCAGAGATGATCTCCCAAGCGAAATGCTGAGGGAGGGTGGCGTTTGTGCACAGACTGCCCTATATGACATCATAACAACAGTCTGGACCACTGGACGGGTTCCGCAGGATTGGAAGGATGCCCTGGTGGTCCCCCTTTTTAAGAAGGGGGACTGCACAGACTGTAACAACTACAGGGGCATCTCACTCCTCAGTGTGCCGGGAAAGGTCCTGGCAAGGATTATTCAGCATCGCCTTGCCAGGCACGCTGAGGAGAGGCTTGCGGAGCCCCAATGCGGTTTCAGGAAAGGGCGGTCCTGCACAGATGCCATATTTTCTGTCCGTCTGCTACAGCAGAGGTGTAGGGAATTCCAACAAGACCTACATCTCTGCTTTATAGACCTGGTCAAGGCCTATGATACCATCAGTAGGCCTGGGCTCTGGGTTGTTCTTCGTGCTTTTGGAGTACCTGACCCTCTGCTCACGATCATTAAGGACCTTCATGATGGTGAGCGGGCCCGGGTAAAACTACGTGGCCGGGAGTCAGAGCCATTCCCTGTACACCTTGGGGTGCGACAGGGATGTCCTCTGGCTCCCACATTATTTAACATCTATTTTGACCACGTAGTTCGTGAAGCCTTCAATAGCTGTACCGGGGGAATCTCCATATGGTACAGATATAATGGGAGGCTAATCGATGCCCGGGTGCGGTCAAGGGATGGCTCCCTATTGCTCAACGTTATGTATGCTGATGATTTGGTAATAGCTGCTCAGTCAGAGGAGGAGTTGGAGACGCAGCTGCTGAGACTGGAGCGTGCCACTAAGAGGTGGGGCCTTACCATCAGCCCCACCAAAACTAAGCACCTGCCTGGGTATTTTGTACCATCGGACACTCCACCCCCACAACTCCCAATCGGTGATGGGGCAGTTGTGGAGAGAGTGGAGAGTTTCCCATACCTGGGCAGTGTGCTTATGACTGGCTCCAGTTTAACAGCAGAGGTCTCACTCCGAATCAGTCGAGCGGCAATATCTTTTCATTGGTTGCGTAACGCTGTGTGGAAGCTACCTGGTCTGTCGCTCCGCACTAAGCTTCGGGTCTTCTCGGCCACGGTCATTCCCTCCCTTCTCTATGCTTGCGAAACGTGGACCCCCCTAATGGAACATCTTCGCCGGTTAGAAACATTTAGGCTGGCCTGCCTACGATCCATCCTGGGTTTAACCAGACTGGATTGTGTGAGGAGCTCACAAATCCTTGAAAGATCTGGGCAGGGTCCCATCGGTGAGCTCCTCCGGAAGGCAAGGCTGCGATGGCTGGGTCATGTAGCCCGCATGCCCAGCCACCGCATGCCGAAACAGCTTTTGTTTGGCCAGATTGAGGGGGCTAAGCGGGCGCGGCACGGGCTAGAGAAGAGATGGAGTGATGTGGTACAGGAGGACGTGGAGCTGAGTGGACTTGCCGATGACCGGTACCAGCGGTGTCAAGATCGGCCTCTGTGGAGGAGGCTCGTGAAGGATGCTACTGGGCAGTTGGAGGCAGTCGCCCTCCAACAACAACGGAGGGCGGAGGAGCGATGCTCACAACAGCGAGCGGAGCGCCGGGTGGCTAAAGCACAGCAGGTTGGCACAGTAGGGGGCACAGGTGGTGCATCAGCCAGTCATCTCAGTCATCTCAGTCAGTCGACCCGTGGCACCTGCTGGGTCTGCCCCGTGACCTCCTGCCAGCGGGCGTTCGACACTTCACGTGGCCTCAGGGTGCACATAGCCTGGCACAAGCGTCGTGGTGACGTCACCGCCACTTAGTGGCGAATGGCGGTTGTTGTTGTTGTTGTTGTTGTGTGTGTCACTGTGTGTGTAAGTGTGTACACTGTGTGTGTGTACTGTGTGTGTGTGTACTGTGTGTGTACTGTGTGTGTGCAAGTGTGTAAGTGTGTGTGTAAGTGTGTGTGTAAGTGTGTAAGTGTACTGTGTGTAAGTGTGTACACTGTGTGTGTGTGTACTGTGTGTGTAAGTGTGTAAGTGAGTGTGTAAGTGTACACTGTGTGTACACTGTGTGTGTGTGTACTGTGTGTAAGTGTGTGTGTAAGTGTACACTGTGTAAGTGTGTAAGTGAATGCAGCACCCACGTGTGTAAGTGTGTGTACTGTGTGTGTGTGTAAGTGTGTGTAAGTGTGTAAGTGTGTACACTGTGTACACTGTGTGTGTGTAAGTGTGTAAGTGAGTGCAGCACCCACGTGTGTACTCTTGCAGGGGCTCGTGGGCCAGACGCACCGCACCGTACTTGCGTGCCTCCTGTGCAGCCTTGTAGGACCACGACCCAGTCACCATGAAGTCTACAACACCACTGCTAAGACCACCACCACCACCACCAACACCACAGCCACCAACACCGCTAACACCACCACCACCACCGCTAACACCACAGCCAACACCACCACCACCACTACCACCACCACCACCACCACAGCCACTACCACCACTGCTACTACCACCACCACTACCACCACCGCTAACACCACCACTACCACTACCACCAACACCACAGCCACCACTACCACCACCACCACCACCACCCGCTGAGCCAGAGCGTCCGAGCAGGTTAAGGGGGATGGCGCTGAATTGGCCGGAGCCGCCGCCCTGGGCGAACAAAACTCGGTAGTTGCTGGGGACGCCCCTGTGGAGACACGCACAGAGAGAGACACGCAGAGAGAGAGAGACACGCAGAGACACGCAGTGACACACAGACACACAGTGACACACACAGAGACACACACACACACAGACACACAGACACAGAGTGACACACACACACAGTGACACACACGCAGAGACACACACACAGTGACACACACGCAGAGACACACACACAGAGACACACACACAGTGACACACACACACACGCAGAGAGAGAGAGAGACACGCACAGAGAGAGACACGCAGAGACACGCAGTGACACACAGACACACAGTGACACACACAGAGACACACACACAGTGACACACACAGTGACACACACAGAGACACACACACAGTGACACACACAGTGACACACACAGTGACACACACAGTGACACACACACACAGACACACAGTGACACACACACACACACAGTGACACACACGCAGAGACACACACACACACAGTGACACACACACACGCAGAGAGAGAGAGACACGCAGAGACACAGAGACACAGTGACACACAGACACGCAGTGACACACACGCAGAGACACACACACAGAGTGACACACACAGAGACACACACACACAGTGACACAGACGGAGACACAGACACAGATAAATACACACACATAGACACACGCATACACACAGATAGAGACACACACACACAGACACACACACACAGATACACACACAGTGACACGCACACACAGAGACACACACACAGAGATAGATACACACACAGATAGATACACACACACACACAGATACACACACAGACACACACACACAGATACACTCACAGACACAACAACAACCGCCATTCACCACTAAGTGGCGGTGACGTCACCACGACGCTTGTGCCAGGCTATGTGCACCCTGAGGCCACGTGAAGTGTCGAACGCCCGCTGGCAGGAGGTCACGGGGCAGACCCAGGTGCCACGGGTCGACTGACTGAGATGACTGGCTGATGCACCACCTGTGCCCCCTACTGTGCCAACCTGCTGTGCTTTAGCCACCCGGCGCTCCGCTCGTTGTTGTGAGCGTCGCTCCTCCGCCCTCCGTTGTTGTTGGAGGGCGACTGCCTCCAACTGCTCAGTAGCGTCCTTCACGAGCCTCCTCCACAGAGGCCCATCTTGACACCGCTGGTACCAGTCATCGGCAAGTCCACTCAGCTCCACGTCCTCCTGTACCACGTCACTCCATCTCTTCTCTAGCCCGTGCCGCGCCCGCTTAGCCCCCTCAATCCGGCCAAACAAAAGCTGTTTCGGCATGCGGTGGCTGGGCATGCAGTCTACATGACCCAGCCAATGCAGCATTGCCTGCCGGAGGAGCTCACCGATGAGACTTTGCCCAGATCTTTCAAGGATTTGTGAGCTCCTCACACAATCCAGCCTTGTTAAACCCAGGATGGATCGCAGGCAGGCCAGCCTAAATGTTTCTAACCGGCGAAGATGTTCCATTAGGGGGGTCCACGTTTCGCCAGCGTAGAGAAGGGAGGGAATGACCATGGCCGAGAAGACCTGAAGCTTAGTGCGGAGCGACAGACCAGGTTGCTTCCACACAGCGTTACGCAACCGATGAAAAGATATTGCTGCTCGACTGATTCGGAGACCTCTGCTGTTAAACCGGAGCCGGTCATAAGCACACTGCCCAGGTATGGGAAACTCTCCACTCTCTCCACAACTGCCCCATCACCGATTGGGAGTTGTGGGGGTGGAGTGTCCGATGGTACAAAATACCCAGGCAGGTGCTTAGTTTTGGTGGGGCTGATGGTAAGGCCCCACCTCTTAGTGGCACGCTCCAGTATCAGCAGCAGCGTCTCCAACTCCTCCTCTGAATGAGCAGCTATTACCAAATCATCGGCATACATAACGTGGTTGAGCAATAGGGAGCCATCCCTTGACCGCGCCCGGGCATCGATCAGCCTCCCATTATATCTGTACCAAATGGAGATTCCCCCGGTACAGCTATTGAAGGCTTCACGAACTACGTGTTCGAAATAGATGTTAAATAATGTGGGGAGCCAGAGGACATCCCTGTCGCACCCCAAGGTGTACAGACAGGGTAAGGATTCAATCTCCTGGGTCCTCCAATTGGGGTTTGGCCAGGAGACGTCATAGACGCCTGTCCCCCCGGGGCCTCCGGCACAAGCTTATTAGTTACATTTTTAATTCGTAGTTTAGTGGTAGTTTATTGAAGGTGTAGGGGTTACCAGCCCCTCGCACCCGTCCAGAGCCCCCGTTTAGCCCCTGTGGTGGACACATATGCCATGAGGGGAGGAGCCAATCAAAATTGGATCTCCCCCCACAGCACTGTCCACGACAGAGTTGCCCGTCCGGCACCGCGAGGAGGTAGGGGGTTGTTTTGGCTGGACCAGAGAGGCACTCAGATAAACACACACACACAGAGTCACAGAGACACACGGAGACACACACAGAGAGACACACACAGAGAGACACACACAGAGACACACACAGAGACACACACAGAGACACACTCAGAGACACACACACAGACACACAGAGACACACTCAGAGACACACACACACAGACACACAGAGACACACACGCAGAGACACACACACACATAGAGACAAACAGACACACAGAGACACACAGACACACGGAAACACAGACACACAGAAAAACACATACAGAGACACACACAGTGTGAGTAAGTGGCTGAGTGAGTGAGTGTGTGGTTGAATGAGTGAGTGTGTGAGTGGCTGTGTGAGTGAGTGTGAGTGAGTGGCTGAGAGAATGAGTGTGTGAGTGAGTGTATGAGTGAGTGTGTGAGTGGCTGTGTGAATGAGTGAGTGTATGAGTGAGTGAGTGTATGAGTGAGTGTGTGAGTGTGTGTGTGAGTGAGTGGCTGTGTGAGTATATGAATGAGTGAGTGAGTGTATGGGTGAATGAGTGAGTGGCTGAGTGAGTGAGTGTGTGGTTGAATGAGTGAGTGAGTGTGTGAGTGGCTGTGTGAGTGAGTGGCTGAGAGAATGAGTGTGTGAGTGAGTGTATGAGTGAGTGAGTGTGTGAGTGGCTGTGTGAATGAGTGTGTGAGTGAGTGTATGAGTGAGTGAGTGAATGAGTGAGTGTGTGAGTGTGTGTGTGAGTGTGGCTGTGTGAGTATATGAATGAGTGAGTGAGTGTATGGGTGAATGAGTGAGTGAGTGGCTGTGTGAGTGGATGTGTGAGTGAGTGTATGAGTGAGTGTGTGAGTGAGTGTGTGAGTGAGTGGGTAGTGTGTGTGTGAGTGTATAAGTGAGTGTATGAGTGAGTGTATGAGTGAGTGAGTGAGTGTGTGAGTGAGTGTGTGAGTGAGTGGCTGTATGAATGAGTGTAAGAGTGTGAGTGAGTGTATGAGTGAGTGTGTGAGTGAGTGTGTGAGTGTGTGAGTGGCTGTATGAGTGTCTGAGTGAGTGTATGAGTGAATGAGTGAGTGGCTGTGTGAGTGAGTGTGTGAGTGAGTGTGTGAGTGGGTGAGTGTGTGAGTGAGTGTATGAGTGAGTGAGTGTGTGAGTGTATGAGTGAGTGTGAGTGAGTGTGTGAGTGAGTGTGTGAGGGAGTGTGTGAGTGAGTGGCTGTATGAATGAGTGAGTGAGTGGCTGTATGAATGAGTGTGAGAGTGTGAGTGTATGAGTGAGTGTGTGAGTGGCTGTATGAGTGTGTGAGTGAGTGTATGAGTGAATGAGTGAGTGAGTGGCTCTGTGAGTGAGTGTATGAGTGAGTGTGTGTGTATGAGTGAGTGTGTGAGTGATTGTATGAGTGAGTGTGTGAGTGTGAGCGAGTGGCTGTGTGTGTGAGTGAGTGTGTGAGTGTGTGAGTGAGTGTGAGTGAGTGACTGTATGAATGAGTGTGTGAGTGTGAGTGAGTGTGAGTGAGTGTATGAGTGAGTGTGAGTGATTGTATGAGTGAGTGGCTGTGTGTGTGTGAGTGATTGTATGAGTGAGTGAGTGTGTATGAGTGAGTGTGAGTGATTGTATGAATGAGTGAGTGGCTGTGTGAGTGAGTGTGAGTGAGTGGCTGAGAGAATGAGTGTGTGAGTGAGTGTATGAGTGAGTGTGTGAGTGGCTGTGTGAATGAGTGAGTGTATGAGTGAGTGAGTGTATGAGTGAGTGTGTGAGTGTGTGTGTGAGTGAGTGGCTGTGTGAGTATATGAATGAGTGAGTGAGTGTATGGGTGAATGAGTGAGTGGCTGAGTGAGTGAGTGTGTGGTTGAATGAGTGAGTGAGTGTGTGAGTGGCTGTGTGAGTGAGTGGCTGAGAGAATGAGTGTGTGAGTGAGTGTATGAGTGAGTGAGTGTGTGAGTGGCTGTGTGAATGAGTGTGTGAGTGAGTGTATGAGTGAGTGAGTGAATGAGTGAGTGTGTGAGTGTGTGTGTGAGTGTGGCTGTGTGAGTATATGAATGAGTGAGTGAGTGTATGGGTGAATGAGTGAGTGAGTGGCTGTGTGAGTGGATGTGTGAGTGAGTGTATGAGTGAGTGTGTGAGTGAGTGTGTGAGTGAGTGGGTAGTGTGTGTGTGAGTGTATAAGTGAGTGTATGAGTGAGTGTATGAGTGAGTGAGTGTGTGAGTGAGTGTGTGAGTGAGTGGCTGTATGAATGAGTGTGAGAGTGTGAGTGAGTGTATGAGTGAGTGTGTGAGTGAGTGTGTGAGTGTGTGAGTGGCTGTATGAGTGTCTGAGTGAGTGTATGAGTGAATGAGTGAGTGGCTGTGTGAGTGAGTATGTGAGTGAGTGTGTGAGTGAGTGTGTGAGTGAGTGGGTGAGTGTGTGAGTGAGTGTATGAGTGAGTGAGTGTGTGAGTGTATGAGTGAGTGTGAGTGAGTGTGTGAGTGAGTGTGTGAGGGAGTGTGTGAGTGAGTGGCTGTATGAATGAGTGAGTGAGTGGCTGTATGAATGAGTGTGAGAGTGTATGAGTGAGTGTGTGAGTGGCTGTATGAGTGTGTGAGTGAGTGTATGAGTGAATGAGTGAGTGAGTGGCTCTGTGAGTGAGTGTATGAGTGAGTGTGTGTGTATGAGTGAGTGTGTGAGTGATTGTATGAGTGAGTGTGTGAGTGTGAGCGAGTGGCTGTGTGTGTGAGTGAGTGTGTGAGTGTGTGAGTGAGTGTGAGTGAGTGACTGTATGAATGAGTGTGTGAGTGTGAGTGAGTGTGAGTGAGTGTATGAGTGAGTGTGAGTGATTGTATGAGTGAGTGGCTGTGTGTGTGTGAGTGATTGTATGAGTGAGTGAGTGTGTATGAGTGAGTGTGAGTGATTGTATGAATGAGTGAGTGGCTGTGTGTGTGAGGCACACAGCAAGTCACGTATTAATCCCTCGGTGTTTTTCATAATCCGCGAAAATTCCGCTGATCGGTGACTCATTTCTGAAACAGACAAAGACACAGACACACACACATACATACACAGACACACACAGACACACACATACAGACACACACACATACAGACACACGTACACACAGACACACAGACATACATACACACACACACAGACACACACTCACACACACACAGACACTCACACAGACACACACACACAGACACACACACACACAGACACACACACACAGACACACACACACAGACACAGACATACACACACACACATACAGACACACACAGTCACCCACACAGACAAAGCTCCCCCAGGTAGCCTCTAGCAGGGCTGTAGGGGCAAGTGCTGTTACACACAAAGCTCCCCCAGGTAGCCTCTAGCAGGGCTGTAGGGGCAAGTGCTGTTACACACAGACAAAGCTCCCCCAGGTAGCCTCTAGAAGGCTGTAGGGGCAAGTGCTGTTACACACAGACAAAGCTCCCCCAGGTAGCCTCTAGCAGGGCTGCAGGGGCAAGTGCTGTTACACACAGACAAAGCTCCCCCAGGTAGCCTCTAGCAGTGCTGTAGGGGCAAGTGCTGACACACACACAGACAAAGCTACCCCAGGTAGCCTCAAGCAGTGCTGTAGGGGCAAGTGCTGACACACAGACACAGACAAAACTACCCCAGGTAGCCTCTAGCAGGGCTGCAGGGGCAAGTGCTGTCAGACACAGACAAAGCTCCCCCAGGTAGCCTCTAGCAGGGCTGTAGGGGCAAGTGCTGTTACACACAGACAAAGCTCCCCCAGGTAGCCTCTAGCAGGGCTGTAGGGGCAAATGCTGTCACACAAACACAGACAAAGCTACCCCAGGTAGCCTGTAGCAGTGCTGTAGGGGCAAGTGCTGTTACACACAGACAAAGCTCCCCCAGGTAGCCTCTAGCAGGGGTGCAGGGGCAAGTGCTGACACACAGACACAGACAAAGCTACCCCAGGTAGCCTCTAGCAGGCTGTAGGGGCAAGTGCTGTTACACACAGACAAAGCTCCCCCAGGTAGCCTCTAGCAGGGCTGCAGGGGCAAGTGCTGACACACACAGACAAAGCTCCCCCAGGTAGCCTCTAGCAGGGCTGTAGGGGCAAGTGGTGACACACAGACACAGACAAAGCTACCCCAGGTAGCCTCTAGCAGGCTGCAGGGGCAAGTGCTGTTACACAGACACAGACACAGCTCCCCCAGGTAGTCTCTACTAAGAGGGATAAGGGTTGCTTACCCATCACACTGATTCCCAGACCCTGGTAGTCCAGCATCTCCCTCTGGGCTTGGAGAAGAACCTGCAAGACACACAGAGACACACAGAGACACACACAGAGACACACACAGAGACACACACAGAGACACACAGAGACTCAGAGACACAGAGACCCACAGAGACCCACAGAGACACACAGAGACACACAGAGACTCACAGAGACCCACAGACACACACAGAAACAGAGATTCACAGAGACACACAGAGACTCACAGAGACACACAGAGATTCACAGAGACACACAGAGATTCACAAAGACACACAGACACACAGAGACACACAGAGATTCACAGAGACACAAAGAGACTCACAGAGACTCACAGAGACCCACAGAGACACACAGAGACTCGCAGACACACAGACTCACAGAGACTCACAGAGACTCAGAGACACACAGAGACAGACACATAGACTCACACAGACAAAGAGATACACACAGAGACACACAGAGACACACAGAGACACAGACACACAGATAGACACAGATAAGACAGAGACAAAGAGATACACACAGAGACACAGAGACACACAGAGACACACAGATAGACACAGATAAGACACACAGAGACACAGAGACCCACAGAGACACACAGAGACTCATAGACACCCACAGAGACTCACAGAGACACACAGACTCAGAGACACACAGAGACACACAGAGACAGACACAGACTCACAGAGACAAAGAGATACACACAGAGACACACAGACTCACAGAGACAGATACAGACACATACAGACACACAGAGACACATAAAACACACAGATAGACACAGATAAGACACACAGAGACAAAGAGATACACACAGAGACACACAGAGACTCATAGACACCCACAGAGACTCACAGAGACACACAGACACAGATACACAGTGCCACATACAGCACTGTACACACCACCGCATGCTACACTGTACACACAAACTGTACGTGGCACTGCACACACAAACTGTACGTGGCACTGTACACACAACTGCACGTCACACTGCACACACAAACTGTACGTGGCACTGTACACACAACTGCACCTGACACTGTACACACAAATACACGTGACACTGTACACACAAACTGTACGTGGCACTGTACACACAAACTGTACGTGGCACTGCGCACACACAACTGTACGTGGCACTGTACACACAACTGCACGTGACACTGTACACACAAATGCACGTGACACTGTACACACAAACTGTACGTGGCACTGTACACACAACTGCACGTGACACTGTACACACAACTGCACGTGACACTGTGCACACAAACTGTACGTGGCACTGTACACACAACTGCACGTGACACTGTACACACAAATGCACGTGACACTGTACACACAAACTGCACGTGGCACTGTACACACAAACTGTACGTGGCACTGTACACACAACTGCACGTGACACTGTACACACAAATGCACGTGACACTGTACACACAAACTGTACGTGGCACTGTACACACAACTGCACGTGACACTGTACACACAACTGCACGTGACACTGTGCACACAAACTGTACGTGGCACTGTACACACAACTGCACGTGACACTGTACACACAAACTGCACGTGGCACTGTACACACAAACTGTACGTGGCACTGTACACACAACAGCACGTGCCACTGTACACACAAGTGCACGTGACACTGTACACACAAACTGTACGTGGCACTGTACACACAAACTGTACGTAGCACTGTACACACAACTGCACGTGCCACTGTACACACAAGTGCACGTGACACTGTACACACAAACTGTACGTGGCACTGTGCACACAAACTGTACGTGGCACTGTACACACAACTGCACGTGACACTGTACACACAAATACACGTGACACTGTACACACAAACTGTACGTGGCACTGTACACACAAACTGTACGTGGCACTGTGCACACAAACTGTACGTGGCACTGTACACACAAATGCACGTGACACTGTACACACAAATGCACGTGACACTGTACACACACACTGTACGTGGCACTGTACACACAACTGCACGTGACACTGTACACACAACTGCACGTGACACTGTGCACACAAACTGTACGTGGCACTGTACACACAACTGCACGTGACACTGTACACACAAATGCACGTGACACTGTACACACAAATGCACGTGACACTGTACACACAAACTGCACGTGGCACTGTACACACAAACTGTACGTGGCACTGTACACACAACTGCACGTGCCACTGTACACACAAGTGCACGTGACACTGTACACACAACTGCACGTGACACTGTACACACAACTGTACGTGCCACTGTACACACAAACTGTACGTGACACTGTACACACAAATGCATGTCTCTGTGTTTGAGTGTCTCTCTGTGTTTGAGTGTCTCTCTGTGTTTGAGTGTCTCTCTGTGTCTCTCTCTGAGTGTCTCTGTGTGTGTCTCTGTGTGTGTCTCTGTGTGTGTCTCTGTGTGTGTCTCTGTGTGTGTCTCTGTGTGTGTCTCTGTGTGTGTCTCTGTGTGTGTCTCTGTGTGTGTCTCTGTGTGTGTCTCTGTGTGTGTCTCTCTGTGTGTCTCTCTGTGTGTCTCTCTGTGTGTCTCTCTGTGTGTCTCTCTGTGTGTCTCTCTGTGTCTGTGTCTCTGTGTCTCTCTGTGTCTCTCTGTGTGTGTCTCTGTGTGTCTCTCTATGTGTCTCTCTGTGTGTCTCTCTGTGTGTCTCTCTGTGTGTCTCTCTGTATGTGTCTCTGTGCGTCTCTGTGTGTATCTCTTTGTCTCTGTGTGTCTCTCTGTGTCTGTGTCTCTCTGTGCGTCTCTGTGCCTCTCTGTGTGTCTCTGTGTGTCTCTGTGTGTGTCTCTGTGTGTGTCTCTGTGTGTGTCTCTGTGTGTGTCTCTGTGTGTGTCTCTGTGTCTCTGTGTCTCTGTGTGTGTCTCTGTGTGTGTCTCTGTGTGTGTCTCTCTGTGTGTCTCTCTGTGTGTCTCTCTGTGTGTCTCTCTGTCTCTGTGTCTCTCTGTGTGTCTCTGTGTGTCTCTGTGTGTCTCTCTGTGTCTCTCTGTGTGTCTCTCTGTGTGTCTCTCTGTATGTGTCTCTCTGTATGTGTCTCTGTGCGTCTCTGTGTGTATCTCTTTGTCTCTGTGTGTCTCTCTGTGTCTGTGTCTCTCTGTGCGTCTCTGTGCCTCTCTGTGCGTCTGTGTGTGTCTCTGTGTGTCTCTGTGTGTGTCTCTGTGTGTGTCTCTGTGTGTGTCTCTGAGTGTGTCTCTGAGTGTGTCTCTGTGTGTGTCTCTCTGTGACTCTCTGTGTGTCTCTGTGTCTCTCTGTGACTCTCTGTGTGTCTCTGTGTCTCTCTGTGTGTGTGACTCTCTGTGACTCTCTGTGTGTCTCTGTGTGTCTCTCTGTGTCTCTGTGTGTCTCTGTGTGTCTCTGTGTCTCTCTGTGTCTCACACTCACCGCCCGTCCCCCCGTCCCCCCGCCACACCGCCCGTCCCCCGTCACAACTCACCGGGCGCGGAAGCTTCGAGGGGCCCGCTCCGAAGTTGATCACCTCCACCACCTCATCATCCTCCACCTCCTCCACCTCATCCACCTTCTCCACCTCCACCTCCTCCTCTCGTAGGCTAGGGCGGTCTCCCATCGCCGGAACTCTGCGGGATGGAGGTCGACAATTCGCCGCCCGTCCCCCGTCACACGACCAAGGGGTTCTCATTCGCCGCCGATTAGCCGATCAATAATAATAATCGATAATCGATAACGGGCCTTTGGGGGGGGCCTTCCCCCGCCTGCCTCGTTGGCGATGAAGGCCGACCTTGGGTTTTTTTTTAGCTTTTAAGTCTCAGCCATTGGCGATCGATAATCGATAATATTGATAAATAATCGATAACGGAGTCTCTCTCTCTCACGGCACTGCCAACTTGACCCTCGCTCGTGACGATAGATGAAGATGGTAAAGATTTGGTGCGATGTGGTGGTTACTTACTGCTAGTTATGCTAATCGGTAAGCAATCACAATCGATAATATTGATAAATAATCGATAACGGAGTCTCTCTCTTGCAGCACTGCCAACTTGACCCTCGCTCGTGACGATAGATGAAGATGGTAAAGATTTGGTGCGATGTGGTGGTTACTTACTGCTAGTTATGCTAATCGGTAAGCAATCACAATCGATAATATTGATAAATAATCGATAACGGAGTCTCTCTCTTGCAGCACTGCCAACTTGACCCTCGCTCGTGACGATAGATGAAGATGGTAAAGATTTGGTGAGATGTGGTGGTTACTTACTGCTAGTTATGCTAATCGGTAAGCAATCACAATCGATAATATCGATAAATAATCGATAACGGAGTCTCTCTTTGCAAGCCTGTCAGGAGGAGCAAGCTCAGCCTCTGGTGAGGGCTTACCTCTCTTATAATGATAGACGCGACTCTGTAGATAATCACCGTTATCAGCTGTTACTAATCAGCAGCAATCACAATCGATAATATTGATAAAAAATCGATAACGGAGTCTCTTTGCAAGCCTGTCAGGAGGAGCAAGCTCAGCCTCTGGCGAGGCTTCAAATCTCTTATAACGATAGACGCGACTCTGTAGATAATCACCGTTATCAGCTGTCACTAATCAGCAAGCAATCACAATCGATAATATCGATAAATAATCGATAACGGAGTCTCTCTTTGCAAGCCTGTCAGGAGGAGCAAGCTCAGCCTCTGGTGGTGACTTACCTCTCTTATAACGATAGACGACTACTCTGTAGATAATCACCGTTATCAGCTGTCACTAATCAGCAAGCAATCACAATCGATAATATCGATAAATAATCGATAACGGAGTCTCTCTTTGCAAGCCTGTCAGGAGCAAGCTCAGCCTCTGGTGAGGGCTTACCTCTCTTACAACGATAGACGCGACTCTGTAGATAATCACCGTAAGCAATCACAATCGATAATATCGATAAATAATCGATAACGGAGTCTCTCTTTGCAAGCCTGTCAGGAGCAAGCTCAGCCTCTGGTGAGGGCTTACCTCTCTTACAACGATAGACGCGACTCTGTAGATAATCACCGTAAGCAATCACAATCGATAATATCGATAAATAATCGATAACAGAGCTTTAACGGATCTCTCAAGCAGATCCGAATGCTGTGTGGCTGGGGGTGGGGAGCGTTCCTCCTTATATAGACAGCGGGGGAGTGACGTCACTACGGACCCGCCCCCTTTGCCCCCGCCCCACAACCTCCTCTCCCTCACAAAAAAATTCCGGCTCGCTGATTGGTTCACCCCCTCCCACGCTCTCACTCGCACGCCACACCCCCCCCTCACCAACTTGCAGAAATCCGGCTCGCTGATTGGTTCACCCCCTCCCATGCTCTGACTCGCACGCCACACCCCCCTTCACCAACTTACAGAAATCCGGCTCGCTGATTGGTTCATCGCGATCAACAGTGGGGCGGGGCAGGGGTAGGGGGGGTAAAATGGGCGTGGCCGTTGTGTAACGGGTCACGCGCATCGCCCCACCACCGCCCCCTCCTCAGCGCAGCAACAAATCCGACTCGCTGATTGGTTCATCTCCACGTCCGATGGGGTGGTGGGCGGGGTAAATTATGTTAATGTATATAAAAATAATGTTAACTATATTTATTATGTTAATGTAAAAGCTGTTATATTTTGATTTAAAGCTGTTATATTTTGATTTAAAGCTGTCGTGACTGCAGGGGATTAATATTCTTGGTTCTCTAGGTAAAGTCACCGCCACGTAGAAGGGAAATATGTTAATATAACACAAATATGTTAATATAATAAGTTATGTTAATTCACCCCGGCATGTTAAACCCACGCATTATGTAAATAACGTAAATTATGTTAATATACTAAATTATGAAGATTCAGCGCCGCATGTTAATTGCGTGCACAGTGCGGATAGCATAAATTATGTTAATTTACACACCGGCCAACTATCGCGTGAATTATGTTAATTTATTTGCAGATATTGCGCGTCGCCGCAATAAATTATGTTAATCGAACTCGGGCGCCGAAGTCCCGGCATCACCTATTGGCTGAGGGGCGGGCGCCCTTGACGTGACGCGCGGTGAGGCCCCTCCCCCGTGAAACTCCGCCCCCGACATACGCTGGCCACGTGACCTCACTGATGCAACTCCGCGCTCTGTGAGGGCAGACTGAGGGGGAGAATCGATCCATCGATTCTTTCAGCCGTTGCCATGGAGCGGGAGAGGGGAATCGACAGATGCGGAATCGAAACGTTTCGATTCCCACGTCCGCAGGATTTATGAATGGGAGTCTCTATAGGACTCATAGAGTCTCTATAGGAGTCTATGAGTCTCTGTGGGTCTATGTGGGTCTCTATGAGTGTCTGTGGGTCTCTGTAGGTGTCTATGAGTGCCTGTGGGTCTCTATGAGTCTCTGTGGGTCTCTGTGAGTGTATGTTGGTCTCTATGAGTATCTGTGGGTCTCTGTGAGTCTCTATGAGTCTCTGTGGGTCTCTGTGAATCTCTGTGGGTCTCTGTGAGTCTCTGTGGGTCTCTGTGGGTCTCTGTCCTTCTCTATGAGTCTCTGTGGGTCTCTGAGGGTCTCTGTGAGTCTCTATGCGTCTCTATGAGTCTCTGTGGGTCTCTATGAGTGTATGTGGGTCTCTTTTAGTCTCTGTGGGTCTCTGTGAGTCTCTGTGGGTCTCTGTGGGTCTCTGTCCTTCTCTATGAGTCTCTGTGGGTCTCTGAGGGTCTCTGTGAGTCTCTATGCGTCTCTATGAGTCTCTGTGGGTCTCTATGAGTATATGTGGGTCTCTTTTAGTCTCTGTGGGTCTCTGTGAGTCTCTGTGGGTCTCTTTTAGTCTCTGTGTGTCTCTGTGAGTCTCTGTGGGTCTCTATGAGTCTCTGTGGGTCTCTGTGAGTCTCTGTGAGTCTCTGTGGGTCTCTACGAGTGTCTGTTGGTCTCTATGAGTGTCTGTGTGTCTCTATGAGTGTCTATGAGTCTCTGTCTCTAGGTATCTCTATGAGTCTCTATGTTACTTTATGGGTCTCTATGAGTCTCTATGTATCTCTATGAGTCTCTATGTGTATCTATGTATCTCTATGTATCTCTATGAGTCTCTATGTATCTCTATGAATCTCTATGTATCTCTATGAGTCTCTATGTTTCTCTATGTATCTATGTATCTCTATGAGTCTCTATGTATCTCTATGAGTCTATATGTATCTCTTTGAGTCTCTATGAGTCTCTATGTATCTATGTATCTCTATGAGTCTCTATGTATCTCTATGAGTCTCTATGTATCTCTATGAGTCTCTATATATCTATGTATCTCTATGTATCTCTATGTATCTCTATGAGTCTCTATGTATCTCTATGAGTCTCTATGTATCTCTATGAGTCTCTATGTTTCTCTATGTATCTCTATGGGTCTCTATGTATCTCTATGTATCTCTATGTATCTCTATGAGTCTCTATGTATCTCTATGAGTATGTATCTCTATGAGTCTCTATGTATCTCTATGAGTTTCTATGTATCTCTATGAGTCTCTATGTATCTCTATGAGTCTCTATGTATCTCTATGAGTCTCTATGTATCTCTAAGGGTCTCTATGTATCTCTATGAGTCTCTATGTATCTCTATGTATCTCTATGTGTCTCTATGAGTCTATATGTATCTCTATGTATCTCTATGAGTCTCTCTGTATCTTTGTGGGTCTCTGTGTATCTCTATGGGTCTCTATGTATCTCTATGTGTCTCTATGTATCTCTATGTATCTCTATGTATCTCTATGAGTCTCTACGTATCTCTATGGGTGTCTATGTATGAGTCTCTATGTGTCTCTATGTATCTCTATGTGTCTCTATGTATCTCTATGATTCTCTATGTATCTCTATGAGTCTCTATGTATCTCTATGTATCTGTATGAGTCTCTATGTATCTCTATGTATATCTATGTATCTCTATGTATATCTATGTATCTCTATGAGTCTCTATGTATCTCTATGTGTCTCTATGTATCTCTATGTATCTCTATGTATCTCTATGAGTCTCTACGTATCTCTATGGGTGTCTATGTATCTCTATGAGTCTGCATGCATCTCTATGTATCTCTATGAGTCTTTATGTATCTCTATGAGTCTCTACGTATCTCTATGGGTCTCTGTGAGTCTCTATGTATGTCTATGATTCTCTATGTATCTCTATGAGTCTCTATGAGTCTGTGTCTCTATGTATCTCTATGAGTCTCTATGTATCTCTATGTATCTCTATGAGTCTCTATGTATCTCTATGTATCTCTATGTATCTCTATGTATCTATGTGAGTCTCTATGTATCTCTATGAGTCTCTATGTATCTCTAAGGGTCTCTATGTATCTCTATGAGTCTCTATGTATCTCTATGGGTCTCTATTAGTCTCTATGTATCTCTATGAGTCTCTATGTATCTCTATGAGTCTCTATGTATCTCTAAGGGTCTCTATGTATCTCTATAAGTCTCTATGTATCTCTATGACTCTCTATGTATCTCTAAGGGTCTCTATGTATCTCTATGAGTCTCTATGTATCTCTATGTATCTCTATGAGTCTCTATGTATCTCTACGAGTCTCTATGTATCTCTATAAGTCTATATGAGCCTCTATGTATCTCTATGAGTCTCTATGTATCTCTATGTATCTCTGAGTCTATGTATTTCTATGAGTCTCTATGTATCTCTATCAGTCTCTACGTATCTCTATGGGTCTGCATGTATCTCTATGAGTCTCTATGTATATTTATGAGTCTCTATGTATCTCTATGTATCTCTACGAGTCTCTATGTATCTTTATGTATCTCTACGAGTCTCTATGTATCTCTATGTATCTCTACGAATCTCTATGGATCTCTATGTATCTCTATGAGTCTCTATGTATCTCTACGTGTCTCTGTGTGTCTCTATGTATCTCTATGTATCTCTATGGGTCTCTATGGGTCTCTATGTATCTCTATGTATCTCTATGGGTCTCTATGTATCTCTATGTATCCGTATGAGTCTCTATGTATGTCTATGGGTCTCTATGTATCTCTATGAGTCTCTATGTATATCTATGTATCTCTATGAGTCTCTATATATCTCTATGAGTCTCTATGAATCTTTATGTATCTCTATGTATCTCTATGAGTCTCTATGTATCTCTATGAGTCTCTACGTATCTCAGACAACTGTTAGTGGTGATTGGGAGGGGTGGTGCATCAGTCACTGCACTCAACGATGAACCCAACGACCCATTCACATGAAGCGATAGAGATGATTATGATCTAAACCGTGTGATATGGTGGGTGGGTGAGTGGGTGGGTGAGTGAGTGATTGGGTGGGTGAGTGAGTGGGTGGGTGAGTGAGTGGTTGGGTGAGTGGGTGGGGGGGGTGAGTGAGTGGGTGAGTGATTGGGTGAGTGGGTGGGTGAGTGAGTGGATGAGTTAGTGGGTGGGTGATGAGTGGGTGGGTGGGTGGGTGAGTGAGTGGGTGAGTGAGTAGGTGGGTGGGAGGTTGAATGGGTGAGTAAGTGAGTGGGTGGGTGGGTGAGTGGGTGGGTGAGTGGGTTGTTGAATGGGTGAGTGAGTGCGTGGGTGGGTGGGTGAGTGGGTGGGTGAGTGGGTGGGTGAGTGGGTGAGTGAGTGGGTTAGTGAGTGGGTGGGTGAGTGAGTGAGTGAGTGGTGAGTGGGTGAGTGAGTGGGTGGGTGGGTGGGTGGCTGAGTGGGTGAGTGAATGAGTGAGTGGTTGAGTGAGTGGATGAGTGACTGGGTGAGTGAGTCAGTGGGTGAGTGAGTGAGTGAGTTGGTGGGTGGGTGGGTGAGTGAGTGAGTGGGTGAGTGAGTGGGTGGGTGAGTGGGTGGGTGAGTGAGTGGGTGAGTGGGTGGGTGGGTGAGTGGGTGAGTTGGTGGGTGGGTGAGTGAGTAAGTGGGTGGGTGAGTGAGTGGGTGGGTGAGTGGGTGGGTGAGTGAGTGGTTGGGTGAGTGGGTGGGTGGGTGGGTGAGTGAGTGAGTGGGTGGGTGAGTGGGTGAGTGAGTGGGTTGGTGGGTGAATTGGTGAGTGAGTGGGTGAATTGGTGAGTGAGTGGGTGGGTAGGTGGGTGAGTGAGTGGGTGGGTGGGTGAGTGAGTGGGTGAGTGGGTGGGTTGGTGAGTGGGTG